CTGTCAAACAAAAGCCAGATGCAGAGGTTGCTCAATATTAACTTCCTGCACCAGGATTAACTAGCAGGGAGTGGCTTTGTCTACAGTAAAAGTGCTTGAAATTTCAGGCTTGCTTGCATACTGAATATAAACTAAGTTCAAATTAAAGTCATTAAAGTCATTCTCAGGAACCTAAACAGGATTCAGGCTCAAAGGATGTTTGGAGGACCCCCACCCCCACCACCACCCTCCTCTACAGCCACTCTGGCTACTAATTTAATTAAGAATCAGAGAGTATTTACTCTCTGCAATCCTTTTCAGTCTGACAGCTCATTAAGAGGTGCTGACAAAGAGCAGACTCTTATTAGGCCCTGCAGGCTATGCAGAGAAACAGATTAGTAGTATTACACAAGTCTAACTAGGCCAAACTCTTTATAACTTTTAATACTGCATTCAACAGGATTTATTCTGGAACTGACTGATTCTCCCGAGTTACTGGCCTGCTTCTGGTGAACACAGATCAAGTTATCAGACAGAAATAGCTGAGCTCATGTAGATAAGACAGAAATCCCACAGCTATGAAATAATGTGCTTTGTAAAAAGCTTTGTTTGGGACTAAACCTCAGTGTTTTCTCTGCTGATCTCAGCTGCCTCCAGGGTATTGAGGGAAAGTAGGTGAACCTGTCTCTAGCAAAACACTGAGAAATAAATATTTACTCAGTCTGCAGTATCAGGAGATCTCAGTGGCCCTCCTCTAACTTCTGTTTTCCCTTCAGGCTGACGGTCTGAAAGAGGGTGACTACATTGTCGCCGTGAGCGACACAGACTGCAAGTGGATGAGCGTGAGTGAGGTGATGCGATTGCTGAAGGATGTGAACGAGGAGGGGATTGACATCCAGGTGGTGAGCATGATGGACAGCAACCCTCCAATGGTATGCCATACCCTCTTTCCCCTTCCTGTTGAGCGAGAATAAAGTCATCTAGCTGGTTTTCTTGATTGACAAATAGTGACAGCAAAGTTGGTCTTTGTATCAGATGACTTAACAGCACAGTTTCAGATTCCTCCTTTTGAGGTAGTGTTTCCTGCCGTAGTAAATTGTCCATGCAGTTCCCCATGAGAAATACCACTTAGGATATGACCATGTAGTGTAAAAGACATTGATTTATTAAATTCTACAGGGTTTTAAGCAGTTGGCATTATGTTGTATATTCTTATATTATATATTCTTATTTGTCCAGTCCCTGCACATTTCATATCAGGAGCAAATCCTTCACAGTACTCTTGTTTTTGATTCTGGGTATTTCTGGACTTCTGTGTTAAAACAGTGAGAAAATGACTAACTTAAATGCAAAGTTGTTGACCCCACATAGTGATTGAGACTGTATGGCCTCCAGGGACACTTTTTGATTCAACAAGCAATGACTGCTTCTTTCCACTAAATGTCATTGTCAATCTCTCTACTCCAGCCTACCAAGAGTGCCACCTTCTGCGGAAACCTGCCCAAGACCTACTCCATGATTTGTCTGGCCTTTGATGACGATGACAAGAACCCCAAGTCTCGCAAAGTAACCAAGAAGTCGTCCTTCATCAGCTGGGGTCTGAAGAACAAGCTGAAGAGCGCCAGCACCCTCAGCCTTCCCACAGCGGACCACTCTGGCGCCCTTCCCTGGAACAAACCCTGTCCAACCTTCCCCAGCTCCAGCTCCTACAACAACGACAGTGCCCTCTACTGAGCTAGCCGCAGACTTTCTGCTGTCTGCAAGCAGTGTGCAGACCACATATTAAGCCTAATGTGGCTGCATACAGTACTGTGTTGTACCCATACTGGACCTGCTATGGATATGGTACATTACCAGTGCCCTTTGGTGTTTCCACTGGAATACTGAGCAGTAGTGTATGTAGCTGTATGTCACCAGTGTAATGATGACATATCTGCCAGCTACCTTGGAAAGTGGCTGTGCCAAATACTGTATATAGGTGCCTTTGTTGGTACATGGGCGCCTTACCCAGCACAGTTCAGTATCTGAAGTGAACTGGACTGCACACCAAACATAATGAGAAATCATTCTGTACCATGCCAGTATGTGTACAGCACAGTACAACTGCACTGTGGGAAAACAAAACATGCCAGTTATCATTCCAGTCTATATATATATAAACACAGCATTGAGACTAAGTTAAACTGTCATCTCAGTATGTTTTTCTGAAGAAACTCTCCAGACGAATTGAAAGACAAAAACAAAGTTGTACAAACACACCCAGCGACAGTTACTACTTGACTGCAAGGGCATAATTTTATTGTGGCTTAAGCGGCCCCTTGTTAGCTCCATTGTGTACTGATGTAGCTGTGCACTGTGCAGTTTTGATCTCTGTATCCACCATGTCTGTTTCATACTGTATATGTGAAGGATTCGGTCATTGCTACGATATTTGTTGCAATCCAAGCTTTGGGTTTTGAATTACATATATTTTCTAAATACATATGTAGATGTTATGAACCTTGTTGCAGTATGTTAAACAGTGATTAAGGGAAAACAAATTGTGCTGTGCAGTTGCTGTTTTTTTTGCCTGGGGAGAGTTAATGAATGCAATGTTCTATAAGCTGCTAAAAAAATCATATATACCTTGTTTATGTATTATTGTCACTTTTGTATTTGTGAGACAGCCTTTGAGGATTATTGTTTCTGTTGAGTGTCATGCCCAGGACACAGTGTAAATGGAAATATTGGTATTTTAGGTTTGCTTACTCTACCAGTTACGCCACAGACCAAAATGCCTCTGTGTCCCTGATATGTCAGGTTGTACCATTTACAGTCCTGACTCATTTTACCCTGTTGTTTCATCAGTGCTGCTGCAGCCTGGCAGTGTGTTTATTTGTCAGAAGAGCACGAGCTGTGTGTCTCTCGGTTAATGTGAATATTGATGTAGTTAAAGGTTATTTTGTCTCCAGAAGGGAAGAAAGTGGGCAGGCCAATGACATTCCTTGAATCGTACCTGGACAGCCGGTCACCCAAAAGTGACCCCGATCAAAGTCCACAGTCAGGTTTCTACTCTTTTTCTCCACTTGTCTTAATCCTAGTTACACCCCACATTTTACTGACACTTTGCAGTGTTGGACTATCTCTTTATCTACAAAGTAGATTCCTATACACATTTGATAATAAAATTATTTATGTAATAAAAAAAAACACATAAAAATATATATATATTTACCTGTAAAATTGTAGGTTTCAGAACTAGTTTGTGAATGGTCAAGTTGTGAATTTTTGCACGTTGGATTTTATGGAGGAATGTATTTTACTAGCCTTGCTTAATCCTTTGGTGAACTTTATATACTGGTACACTTTGTCTATGTAAAGATATTTTTAAATGTTTTTAAACAGTAACACTGAGAAGATGTAACACTCTTTACTGTCTCTGTTTACCTAATATGGTGCCATCAGTGCCATTTATACTAAATCATGAAGGAAAATGTCACAATACATGTGTTGACAAGAATGTGCAGTAATTGATTAATATTAATACGTGCTAACTAATTGTGCTAACAGATGCATGTATACCTACACAAATGATGTTGTACAGATGCATTTCACAGTGCATAGTGATCCTAAATGCCTTGGTGTATATGCAGAGGGTTATGGTACCTGAGTATCTAGAGGTTTCAGGTTGCCTTTGCTTCTTTTCTCTGTACTTTGGGCTGCATAGCAACTGTGGTATGAATGCTTGGTTGGTAAATCTTTGTGTCGTATGTATAAAGTCGGATCTCAATAAAAGGTGGGAACAAAACACATTTCCTGGATTTTGTTAAGTATGTATTTGTGGCTCTGTGTATATCAGTGGTTGAAACTACCAAGCAGGTTGGGAATGACTGGAATGAAGTTTGACCACAGCCCTCCGTGAGCCAACACACACTAAATCAACACTGTTTTAACTGTTGTGAGTCTGGCGTGGGACCACATGACATCCTAATCTGCCATCATGGAAACAGAAGAGAAACACCATGTGCTTAAGTCTTACCTATCAGGCCTTTCTTCTTCCATACCCTCGTGTGTGTGTGTGTGTGTGTGTGTGTGTGTGTGTGTGTGTGTGTGTGTGTGTGTGTGTGTGTGTGTGTGTGTGTGTGTGTGTGTGTGTGTGTGTGTGTGTGTGTGTGTGTGTGTGTGTGTGTGTGTGTGTGTGTGTGTGTGTGTGTGTGTGTGTGTGTGTGTTTAAAGGCATTTTACCTAAATGAGAGAGCTAAATGTTGATTCTCGTGGCTTTGAACTGAAAAATGAATCCCCCAAAAGTCAAATTCTCTTCAGGATTTGGATTTATTTTAACAGGGAAAGTGAATATTGCAGCAACCAAATATGTTGACTTATGGTCATAGGATTCATACTTCTAACATTCCTTGGGGCTAAGGGCAGCGCTTGATAAAACTCACACTGAAATGTTCTAATGATTAACTGCCAAAAGAGGACTGAAAATATGCATGTTTTTTTGCAGTAGTATATTAGTACAGCCAGCCTGCACAGGACAGATGTGTATAAAAACTACATAAATGGATGACGTGTTTTCCCCATCTGTTCCTGCTCAGAAAACCCACATTCTATTAATCAGCTAATAAATATTTTATTAATCAGTTGTAATAAATATGGGGATATGTATGAGTTTTAAACATAGTGCCAACATCTTTATTTTAGTCAGTATGCCAAGTTTTGCTCCAATAACCAAATCCAAATGGACTGGGTGGAAGATGTGTGTTTATGTTAAAAGTAATTACTAAAATGGGATTTGTGGGTACACATTAATATGTACATGTATGACATTAAACTGAATATGTCTTGTATGCTGTATAGTGTGTGTGCATGATACATGATTGAAGTTAGTTCCTTTAATATATAAAAAGAAAATCATGGAACATCTTCGCCCCCTGCTGGTCGGGCCGCTGGTTGTTAAGGATGTCGTTGCTAGGTAAATCATATAAGTCGCCGATTGGCTTCTCGCCTCACTTTTAGCCAATCAGCACTAGTTTTGTAGCGAGGCACCTTCTTGTGGTGAAGCGTCTAGATACGAGGAGTCTGCAAGCACAGCAGCCAGCCTGTTGAATATAGTTAGCTTGCTCATTTTGCTTTATCGTTTTAGGGTGAAAGAGGACAGATACGTTGAAACATGTGACACTGACTAGTAAACTCTTGTGAAGCTAACTGAGCGAAGGAATGCTCGGTAAACGAGTCGTTGTTCAGCGCAACCTGAAACAATAACTTTAGCTAGTGAAACAAGGGTCAAAAGCCCATTGTAATTTCCACTATGTTAAAATTCAGCTTCAGGAGGGAGAAAGAAAAGGAGTTTGTAAGTGTGCCGTCTTTCATACAAGCTATGTCTAGCTAGCTTAACGTCTGAATATTTTTTTCATTTAATGTTAGCTAACGTGAACCTTGTTTCCACTGAATTAACATACTTAACTTCGGTTACTTAACGTAAGCATAAGCTAAACATGTTGACATGTATTTAAGGTAACGTTTGATTACAGAAGTTTCGTAATGTTAATACGCCTTGTGATGCATGGTATTAACGTAGTTGACCAAAAGTAAACTGACTGATTTTGGAAAACCAGTTGAAGTCTAACACTGTGGGGTTTCCAGTAGAAAAGGTCTACTGCTGTAACACGCTGTTCACTGTTTGGTGTCTCGTTGATTGGTCATGTTGTGATTCATCATCCTTTCTAGCCTTTCCCTTCCACCTATATAGCCTCTGTCTTTCCACTAACCCTTCCCTTAAACACTTATTTCATGCACTAACTGAACCCTCCTCAACAGCTGTCATAGGAGCAGCATTGTGAGTGTTAATGTCTATGTGATGTTAACCTTCTCCCTAACCTCCCTCCGGTGTGTGTGTGTGTGTGTGTGTGTGTGTGTGTGTGTGTGTATGTAGAAGCACATAGTTCACGGTTTGATTCCTGCTGCCTCCATTGCTCCCAAGCCAGCTGTGCCTCGTACCCCGCCCCCACGCAGCCCAGACCCCTCACCTGAGAGACCCAGGTACCAAACACCCTCCATCAACTCCGACATCCTTGTATTGTGCTGTGTTTCCCCTGACACTGTTTCCTATTAAACCTTAATTTTGTAACATTTGGGCTGTACCTGTTTGAGTTTCAATGTAATTGAGCTTCATATTCATATTTGAATAAATTCCCATTATTATTTGCAATAGTAAAACGTTTAAGATAGCTTATTTTTCCCTCTTTAACCCCCACAATGCAGTGTTTCAGGGGTAAATCTTAACCCACCTGCTCGTGTTGCCTTTACCCCTGTGTACCAACATGCTGTGTGACTTCATGCTGTCTTCAGACATGACTACTTATCATTGAAATGTGGTAGAAAAGTTTAATTCTGGACTCATCACTCTCACTGTCTGTTGCCATTATTGATTCATTCCTCACTGATCCTCATCATACTTTTTTTTCCACCACAAACGTCTTGATACAGTAGGCTTTCATTATTTTTTCTTTTTGTTTGCTCAACACACTGTATCTGATTTGTAGGGTTATTGTTGTGCTCTAGAAACCAAGAATTAGATGGAGGGGGGTTGTAAACATTCACTGTGGGGTCAACCGTGGTATACCACATGGTGGATGTAAAACAATGCTATCAAACTCATTTACAGAAACTGAGGGAGGTGCTCCCTTTGTAACAATATCAAATATCAAACATAGGAAAAAAACTATGACTTGAAATTTTGATGTGATAAGCAGCATTTGTAGCACTTATGATATACAAACTGTCTGTCTCTTCTCACATGAATTGCATCTTTACATCTACAGATCAGCCTTAGCAGCAGCCATTTTGTCTTCTTCGCTCACTGGACAGACATGGGCCATTCCCCCTACCCGGCCGAGGTCTTTCTCTGAGAGTGGCCGATCAGAGTCCTTTATATCTGAACCAAACATCAGCACAGCACTTTACACCAGGTAAACCCCCTTCAGGCAAATACACAAGTATTATCACAAGCTTTGTGACAAATTATTCAAACTACAACAAGTGACTCCCAGTTTAAACCCGACCACGGGTTGTGTTTGTCAAGTGTGTCACAGTAGAAAATGAGCCAGAATGGCCTACTTTGGTCCTACTTGGTCCTACTTTTAGGAATAGCAGTGATTTTTTTGTGTGATTTCTTTATGTACCAATGCACCAAGGCAAATTCCTTGTATGTGTAAAAAATTACGTGGCAATAAACCATTCTGATTCTGATTCTGATTCTGATTCCGAAAAGTATTTTCTGAGCTCTTTTAAAGTAGGATCTCCACTAGGATTTACAGGAGCAAAAGATGTGTGTGTAAAATGTGGGATATGACCTTGACTTTTATGTATCTCTCAATATATTTAAAATATAGGCCTGAGTTTTCCCCTGGTTTCAGTAATCCTTCTGTTCAGACACTATCTATCTCTAACATTTTTTTGCCTTTTTCATAGAAGACGTTTTGACAACTCACAGTAGCTAAAATAAATGACGGCTGAATTCCATTTAGCTGTTTTGATTTGACGCTCCTGCTGTTGTGCATGTTAGCTCACTGTCACAATGTCGGGGGTTACTGGGACACTTGAATGGAACAGAGCCATTGTCAATGTTACTAGTAACATTATTATTATTATTATTATTATTATTATTATTATTAACTTTTCTCCACTGTTACTTTGATATATTACTTTCTTATCTTCCTCAGAGACAGATGGTCAGAGGATTTAGCTAGCCGGCCACGGCTGTCCTCCCCTGACCACTCAGAGGAGTCGGAAGACAGGGAAGAGGAGGTGGAGAATGAAGAGGACGGGGAAGAACATGTTTACCAAAGTCTAGACAGACGGGAGGATTGTTCAATCACAGAACCTGTCTATGCCCTGCCACTAAAACCTAAGGTGAGATCCTACGGGAAAGATCTCATTGTTATGTGTGAGCAAGTGTCTGACTGGAGTGTGAGCGGTTTTAATCCCAGTGTTGTCTTTCAAAGCAAATGAGAAACCATCTTCCTTCCATAAATAATTGCTTTCAAGGTGATTTTTTGCAAACTAGTTAACCTCCAACTGGTGTTGAATAGTGGCCAGCAGCCAATATACTTTATAATAGTTTCATAACACCGATTTTGACGTGTAATATATAGCAGAAAAGGCACAGGTATAACTCAGAACCTTAATAACGACTTGCATTACATTAAAGTGAGCCAGTTCCAGGGACTGTGTCTACACTGGAAAGGCCTACTGTGATATCAGTAATGTGACCAGTTATACCTGTGGTTTTCCTGCTATGACAAATCAGAATATATGCTTTTAAAAAAAAAAAAAAAAAGAAGGTATGTTTTGAATATGTGTGTTGTGGGAAGATGACTTTTGTGTTTTAATACCAGTCTGATCCACTGGGAGGCGCTGTTGTACACAGAATAAAGGTAATGTTTATCTGTTGAGTCTGTACTGTAGAGAAGTGATCTTTATCATTACTGACTGGGATATAGAAAAATATCCCAAGAGACTGCTATCACAGACTCTTGGGATATTGTTCTATTCGTGTTCTTGTCCTGTATACTGCTACCTTGGGTTGCTAACCAATAATTGTCCCTATGGACTCTATTTCCCCCTGTCAGTTGTCTTTCCAGGCTATCACAGAGCCTTGCTGCCTGGGGCTTTATCCACAACAACCACCAGTTTGCTGGAACATTTTTAGCAACGCATGGAGCATGATGTTTCTATTCCTTGTACCATAATCTAAGGCGAGCATCCAGTATAGTAGCAGTTGTAGTGGATCTTAACAGAATGATGTACCCCCACACAAATGTAATCCATAAGAAACGTCAGGCTATACCCTCACAAATCCACAGGGGCCACTGTACAGTGCTTGTTTACAAATAACCTCAGTTTTAGACAATAATAAACTGGCAACTAACCGGTTGTGTGTACAACAATCTTGTGTAACAGTTGTGCCTTTAGCCATTAGATTTATATAATTTGTTACAGAGCAATTGGCATTCTTCAGTCTTTTCGTTCATTTTTTTTTTTTTTGCTTCTTTCTTGCTTATGTATTACAAATGTCTCTTTCCTACACTGAATGCTACTGTGACTCATTGACGTTGCTTTAACGTGTCTCTGAAGATCACGAACATAAACGCACTGACAAGATCTTATTGTCCACATTTTAACAATGGCCATAAACAAGGTAGTCTCTGAAATAGCCTTGCATAAAAGAGATCCCGGCAGCAGGGCTTTGGAAATCTTTTTGAAAAAACATATTCATTATCTGTCTGTCTGACTGACTGTCTGTTTGTTTTGCTTGTCTGTCTGTCTGTCTGTCTTCCAGACCAGTGCAACCCAGCCAAATCAGATATCTAGCAGAAGAGTGCCTTCTCCAGGTACTGACCAACTCTAACTCATAATCTGTCAGAAATGGCAAATAACCCCACCTATGAATATGACAAAATGCTGAGTATAGTGCAATTCAGCAATATATAGTAAATCTACCTTAGATTGCTGTTTATTTAAGAGTTAACCTACTATTGTACAGCCAAATAAAACCACTTTGGTTGTCAATACCTAGGTACATACTATCAATTTCCACTCAAGCTTCTTGGAAGAGATGAAAAATATTACTCACAGGACTAGATTATCTTTTATACCTTTGGCAGTTTAATCTTGGAGTATTTACTGGTGAGTGAGTTTCTATGCATGTTGTTCTTTTTAGTGCAGATCCAGAGATTGTAGGAATTCAACCACAGCCAGTACAGTATACAACCTTAAAAATAAAACCATATCACCATTTGCATACTTATAAACATATTTATTCATATTTCATTTTATGTCACTAGTCTCTATCAAACATATTGTATTTTCTAAATCCTTAGAGTCCATTCAGTTATCATTTATTACTTTTATTATCTGATACTTCTGCTGGTTGTAACTATTGATGTGAGTGGGAGGTGGTAACTTCAATATTGGCGTGTCAGTAAATATTGCTTAGCAGCCGCCAGTACTGTGTAGAATAGTTGGAATTTTTATTATTATTTATTTGTTAATTGACAGAACTGCAAAAAACTGCAAATGTGCTATGAACATCTTTTGAACAACGTACAGCAAAACAAATTCTGTTGGTGGTGTTGGTGTCTTGTAGGTATACTTTTAAAGTAGAGATTAGTTTGATTTGAAATTCAGAAAAACAAAGCTTTTAGTAATATTAAAATTTCCATGTACGCCTCAATTAACATTGACCAGAGTACACATTTCTACTTAGGGAGTGAGTAATATAAAGAGAGACATGGAAATTGATTTCAGAATTTTCTCCCTTACAAAGAAAATGAAAGAATGATGAGGGACTCAGCTGCACCACATTTCAGCCTTTAGCAAAGGAAGAAGATACAGCCCTTATTCAATCACTGTTTCATAACAGCCAAATTGTAGCCTTACATCATTAGAGCTAAATGGAAAGCCTCATTATAGTTGTTATTACCAGAGCTGGCCTCAGGCTTTTGGCGATACTAAATTAAAATGTTTTATGTGTCCCTAAAATGCTTCTACCTTAATCACTAAATTATACAGGCAAGCTGTGTTGTAAAGTAACTCATTCAAGATATGGAGAGAGTCACTTTTTCAAAACAATATGTAGTTCATGGTAAACTCAGATTGCATAATTAAGCACACAGAACCCAGTGCTACTTCTTTGTATTCATTCAGTGATGCAGTGATTTTTCCTATCTCTCAGATTTCTCTGAGGAAACCAGTGTCCAGTCTCCTGAAGCCAGCTGTGAGTTTTCCAAGAACAAAGCCTCTACCAGGAAAAGACCTGGAAGTCATAAAGAAGTTGTGCCTTGTAGATGTAAGTCTTACAGTAGACTGGTCTCTGTAATTTTGATTTATATTTTTTCTTCTACTGAATACTTGATAAATAATTACTGGATCTGTGTAGTTCCCCTCTCTGTGTATTGAACTTAAAGGAGCCAATCCATACAAACCATGCTTCTCTCTTCCTATTTATTGTATTTAAATATTGTGTATCGAGACCACATTCATTTTAGAAATACTTTACAATTCCACTCTTTATTCTATTTAGAATATGTCCGTTTACTGCCATTAAAGGTATTAACTTCCCTCTTTCAGCCACGCTGCCCATCCTAACCACTGACCACGCCAGCCAATCCAGCAAAGCCAAAAACCCAAAACCCTCCACCCAGCTGTCTCCAGAGCCCAGCGAGGTGTACAGCGAGGTGCAGAGGGAGGTAGTGCGGACCCTGCCAGAGAGGAACACAAGGATGGTAGATGAACAGAAGCTACTGGAGGAGAGACTGCGACGGCTGGAACAGGAGATCAGTCACAGCCAAGCCCCCTCAAACCTGAGGTCATCTGCAGGTAGAGAGGAAGAACCACTGGAGATATACAGAGGAGTAGGAGACAGAGAATCAATAGAGTGAAAGAAGGCGGAACAGGGAAAAAGGATAAAGGGAATAATTAAGACGTGGAGGGAATGAAGCAGTGAGATATATGTGTGTACAGGGAACTGAAGATACTGCTGTGAGTAGATATCTGGCTCCTAATCCTTTGGCTCCATAGCACCTCCCCAGCATGATGAGAATAAAAGGGTGAGGGAGTAATGAAAAAGAAACATGAAAAGGGGAAAAAAATGGAAAAAGTGGCAGTTTAAATAGACTGTGACCTCCGGGTGGGCTGACCAAAGCAGCATGGAAAAGTACTGGAGTTCTCCTGCCATTCTCTACCAGTGAAGCATTGATTATGTACTCTTTATTATACCCCAAGAGTCAAACCTATGTAGAAGAAAGACCTCACTATGCCATCCTGCCATACTATAGTCGTCTTTAGTTTAGCTTTCACCGGTCCTCTCTGTTCCTTCCTCCTAAAACTATAAGAGTATAACAAGTATGGCTACTGTATTGCAGTTTTTATTTTATGAATGAATTTACTGCATTCTATTTAACTATCATGATATTCTGAATAAGAGCATTATTTAATGTCTCTAAAACATTGATAACCTGATGTGTGCCGTGCTTACAGGCTGCCAGGCAGAGCTAAAGAATTTGCGGCAACATGCCCAGGAGCTGGTGGATGAAAATGACGCCCTCAAATTGACAGTTCACCGTCTGAATGTGGAGCTGAGTCGATACCAAACCCGCTTCAGACCATTATCCAAACAGGAGGTATGACAAGCTACAAGATAACACGTCTGCTTTTTGACTAGGATCTCATCTTGTATATTGCTTAAATTCTTATGTTTGACTTTTTCCCAGTGTTTTTGGTGCAGATATTATAAGCATTTTTGTGGAAACACATTCATGAATCTCAACTTGCAACGAATTGATGTGAGACCTCCTGTAACTTGTGCCGATAAAATAGTTATGAGCTCATGCCTTGCTCAAGAGAATCTTGTTTGGAGGTTAATGTAGCCAGCCTTAAAAAAGCTTACCTGTAGAAGACTTCCAACTGTAAGGGTCCTGGATTGGTACATTTTTTGGTCCAGAGAGTATTTGGACCCCTCCACTTTTTACCAACATGGGGCACATATGTTTGCCGTGTTCGTAGCTGCAAATAATACATTATCAGTAGTGCCACAATAATGTACCATTTCCCTGTGTATGTACCTGTTAGTCCTAGTCTTCAAATATATAATAAATAATAATTCAACATGTAAAGTGCAGTAAAGTTATTGATTAAACAACTTCTTGAAACATATTTTTGCCCTGGGTAAGGGAGTTGCATCAGGAACCTTTCTCTTTTTAATCAGTCTTCTTACTCCAGCTGAAGTTGCCAGAATGAAATGAAAACTGTTGTACGTGTTACAGAGTACTCTCCTCTGCTCAGTTCAGCAACATTTTAGTCTGTTTTATTCTATTCTGTAATCCTTTTATCACTTCTTCTCTCAGTCTAATTTAATCAGCTTTTATACAGAATCTATAACCACTACATCGCTTTATTTTCCCAGCTTTAGCACTGAAAAAAAACATTTCTTTGTAACCAAGCCTTTAGCTAGAAATCTGCCTTTCATCCAGGACCCCGTTGAGCGAAACATGGTTTTCTTTTTGTCCGTCCTTCCATCTGATTTGTTGCACTAAGGGAGTTTCTTGTTCCTGTCTGTGACTGTCTGCCCATTCTGGGTTTACTCTGCAGAAGAAAGCTGGCCTGTGGTTTTAATCATGGCTACCTCCTGCTGTGTTTTCACACCAAGAGATCTCCTGCTCTCATCACTACGAGTTAGCCCTCATTACTGACAGCTGAAGTGTGGCTTGTGAAAGGAAGAGATACAGGAAAAGATGAGGGACTAGTTAGAATAATGCAATAATAATGAAGATAAAATTGACCTTTGTCTGCTTCCATATATCACATTAAAATATAAAACATTAAAGATCCATTGTGTAGGATTTAGTGGCATCTAGCAATGTAGTTGCAGATTCCAACTCTCTTGCTTTATCCTTCCCTTCCAAGTGCGAAGCAGAAACAGTGGTGGCAATGAAACGTGCACAGAACATGAACGCCCCTATCTAGAGTCAGTTTGTGGTTTGTCCCTTCTGGGCTAATGTAGAAACATGGCAGTTTAACATGGTGGCCTCCATGGAAGGCGACCCATGGCCTCTGTAGATATAAAAGGCTCATTCTAAGGTAACTAAAACTTGACGACACACAGGACCTGAACAAACAAACAAATCACAGCAGTGTCATGTCCTGGATCCATAATGGTGGAATTAGCTCCCCATTGACCAAAGGACAGCAGAAACACATCTTCCGTTGCAGACTGAAAACTTGTTTGTTCAGACTGCATCTTGGCCCACTAAAAAAACTCATTGTTTCTAAATGTAGCACTTGAAGCAGTTCAGCATGTTTATTGAAGTGGGTATTTAATTATGGGGGTTTCATGCACTTATTGTAAGTCACTTTGGATAAAAGTGTCAAATAAATTAATGTAATGTAAAAACATTGACATTTCCATTTGTTTTCCCATTGTTCTGTTGTTGTAACTGTGATCTTTTCAAGCAACATCTCCTTAAGTAACCTTAATTGTTTTTGTTTTGTCCTATTTTTATGTTAACTTTGAATCAAGGACAGCCTTTAAAGCTGCCATATTACCCATGGTGATGGTATTATGACTAACTTCATGTTCTTTCTCTTTCTTACTGTGTCTCATCCAGAGCTCCAGAATCAGCGGCTTGCCAAAGACAGGGTCTCCTCCTCCCTGGCTGGTCAGTATCCATTTAAACAGTAACTGTGCATGGCTGGTTAATAGTCACATTTAGCTAATCAATCTGTTTCATGTGGCTGTCTAGTTTAATAGGCAAATCATTTTTAATACAGCTGAATGATTATTTAAGATAGTACCCATTAAATTGAAACAGTTGGTCAGCAGTTTAATGTGGCTGGTCTTTTCCATCTCTACCTCATGAAATGGATTTAACATGTGAAATTATATATACTCACTCTGCTGACACATAACTGGTCTGATAGTTTGGAAGCTTAGGTCCAGGGTCACACAAAATTGAGGAAAAAGGAAGAGAGTGTGATTTATCTTTCAAATTTCCAAATCAGAAGGCAAGGTTTGTTCACCTTCTGTCCACAATGACTGGAAACCTGCTGAATAGATCAAGAAGATGAAGCCCATTTGCACCTTGTATGGTTCACATACCAACCACTGTGAATAATGGGCAGATTTTTTTGCCCTGAATAAGGCCTAAATGTACAGTAGTACTATACTGGTGGCACTGAGAGCTACAATAGAACCCTAATGATATAATGGTGAGGTACAGTGGAGCTCTTTTGGTGTCAGTCAGAGCTACAGTGGAAATCTAATGATTGATGTTTTGAGATACAGTACATGAGAATAGATGTTTTTATCTTGTAGCTTATTTAAATCTTTTCTCTTCTTCTGTTCTTTTTTTTGTAGCTTGACATGAAGTATTTATCTCCTTTACTTCTGGCCTATGAAGACAGGATGAATGAGAAAGATGAACTTCTGCAAACCACTGAGGTAAAGTGTGTGTGTTTTCTTATCCGCTTAATAATCTGCAAGCTCATCATTCAGCAGAATGTTACATGGGCTATTTTATCAGAGACATATGCAGCTGCTAATGCTGCTGCCGTTGATTTATGCAATGCATGCGATCAAAACCTGCACTTGGTGGTGAACCTGATAGATTACAGTACTTTAGTCAAAGTGCCAGTATGCTTCTGAGAGTTATAAAAGATTTTTTATATATAGCGAGAGCCTGGGAGGTGAGGTTAACATGCAGGCATACAGATGGTTGCAGAAAAACCCAAAGCATGTATATTGTCTTCTAATGGTAATGATTTTGCTGTTTAAGATTCTGAAAATGATTTACATTTAAATGTAAAATAGCTCAAAGTGTGTTGTGTATGTCGCCTGTGGATTAAAGCTCTTGTGCAGACTGCAAAGTACTGATTTGCTTTTAGAGAGAGACAATAGCTGTTACTGTATGTGTTGTAAAGCTATTATTGTATATGATGAGGTCGGACTGAAATTACATTTTTCTTTTTCAACAAGCTCCAACTTTCATGTTTTGATAATAATAGTTTATTTTAACTGCTAATAGTTAAATATATTAGATGGAGAATAGAAGACAAATTGGCAGCAAAAAAGCAGTGACAGTCTACAGGATAAAATAACTTCACATGCTGCATAAATGAGTTGCCAATGATTAGACTCTTGTCAGCAGGTCAATGTGCATGGTGGTGATCCAGCTGCACATTAAGGGGAGATCCAGAAGAAGAAATCCACCAACAGCAGCATCAGGGGCCTGTACCACAAAGCCAGTTTAGATTACCTGGCTTCACTGAGCAAAACATTGGTGATCCCAGAAAATGGATAGTTTATTTGGGGTTTTCCAATCCAGCTACAAGCAAATTCTTATGAAAGAGTTGTTAAGTATTAAATGTTTAATATGATATTAGATGAAAATGTGATACCTGCAGGAAAATCCAGTTGTACTGCTATCAAAAACGTTCTTTCTTTTTTTCCTTTTTAAAAAAAAAAAAAAAAGTAGTTTAATCTTTGTCAGAGGGGTGATAGTTTGCTGTCTTCAGTTTAAATGTCTTCTATTGCGTCCTTGAAATCAGTGGTTCTTGTGTGTCTTTGTCTGCTTTCCACAGGAGGAGGTGAAGAGGTTGCGTGTTCATGTGGAGGAGGTGATCAAAGAAAATGAGAGACTCCATGATGAAATTGCAAAGATCGGAGGGGTCAGCCAAAAGGACTGGTGAGACAAAATTAGCTCATTGTGTGTGTGTGTTGGTTAAGCACTGTTAGCACTCAGTCCCCTGATGTAGAGAAAATGAAATAGCACTTTTACTCTCTGCTTCACTGCTTGCCTGTCTCTCGGTCTGTTACTAAAGCGTTAAATAATGAAATAAAAGTGGTAAAACCTCATCTCATGTGTTCATATATTTTCCCCATTACTACTCTTGCGTACATGATCACTCTTGCTTGTAATGTTGCTGACACTATCAAACTTACAGTATCTGCTCATTGTTAGCAACCCTGACAAGTTTTACGTGAAGCAGTCTGAGACATTTCAACCTGTTTTAAATTTTCAGTCTCCACTCAAGAACAATGTGAAGATTGAGTAAGACATTAGTCACTTGCATACAAGGGGGGGGCTGTGGCTCAGAGGCAGAGCGGGTCGTTCCTTAATCGGAAAGGTTGTGGGTTCAATCCCCGGCTCCTGGTGCCACATGCTGAAGCATCCCTGAGCATGATACTGAACCCCAAATTGCTCCCGATGCCATACATCGGTGTGTGAATGTGTATGAATGTTAGTTTCTGTTCGATGGGCTTTGCCATCACTGAGTGAATGTGTGTGAAAGGGTGAATGTGGCACATAGTGTAAAAGTGCTTTGAGTGGTCGGAAGACTAGAAAGGCTATACAAGTACAGGTCCATTTACCATTTACATTTAGAGCAGTCAGGTGCTCTTATCAAGCTCAACTTAGTGAGCAGAACCCTGAATACTGAACAATAACTTACTGCTCAGTATTCATGGGCAGGCAGGGGCTACAGGTTGTAAACCCTGGAACAGATTTGAAATGAAATGTCTTACTGTAGAGTATAATATATAGTATACATAATGTATCTTTTTTGCTAAGTGACTAAGTATTAAGAGCTGTTTACAATACATTTGTTTGCATACAAACCGAGTAATCAATAAGTGACTCTCAACACCTGCACACATTTCATCATCTACGTCTCGATGCTGCTTCTACAGATGTCAGGCTTAATGGAAATTTAGTGTTTTCCAAGTGTGTGGCTATTTGATTTGTGTCATGCTACTGCTTTGCCTGATAGGAGACACAACACGTCTCCTGCTCAGAAAGGTCACTGAAAAGTCCATTCTCAGTGTATATGCACTGTTTTCACATCACATGTAAATTTAGACTGTGGCTTTTAAGGTAGAAAGGATTCTATTTTCCATTCAAAAAGGTATTACTTACAAATTCACAGTGTTGGGCTAGTTACTACTAAAAATTACAAATTTTTTACACTCTCTTTAAAAGTAATATTGTTACTTTATTTATTACTCCCTGCCAACAGTAATTGGTTAAACTATTTGTTGTATTACCTTTCTGCTATTCAGCAGTAATTATGTCCTTTCTCCACAAAATTCAGATTTACGATTAAAATCCAGTTTGTAATACTGTAATCCCAAAGTAATGGGAATATTTCCAGCCTCTGAGCATAAGTGTTTCCATCTTCCAAACTAATTTATAAAAATGAATCCAAGGATGTGATTGGGTTGTTGGATTTCAAATTAGTAGGGGGTGACAACAAAAGTAAGCCTGTAACTAATTATTTTTTGGGAGGCTATCTGTAATATTATTACTGAAATGTATTAGTAATTACACTATTCATCATTACTGGGGAAAGTAATATTATTAATGTAATATTATCAGTAATTAGTTACTGCCCAACACTGCTTATTCAGTACCAATTGAAATAAGGCAAGCTGGTAATTTTATGTGTTTTGTCTGATGAATGCCTTATTCATGTTGATATTTTATATAGCAGCTTTGTGTTCTGATTATATACTAATTTAGACATATTTTCTCTTTCTCTCTCTCTCTGTCTTTCTCTCTATAGTCATCAACTACAACAGCAGGCCTTTCTGGTTTTGCAGGAGAACCAAGTTCTGATTGATCAGCTCGAGGCTCAGCATGTTAAGGCCAAGGCCAGTCACAGCAGACATCATTCTGAAGGTACAGTGAAAGACTTAGAGCCCTATTTTAATCACACAAATAGAAAACTCAGAGAGCATCTTGGGCACACATACTGTGTGGGTGTCCTCAAGCACACCTGATATTTTGCAGCAGCACAAAGTGTAAGCCGGCTGGGTGAATGTAGATGGGAGTGTGTGGTGATTAATAAATACACACTCAGCTCATCGTCTCATCGCTCTGAAATAGCAGAGCCAAACATGCATGACGCTCAATAAATTAAGAATTGGCTTCTCCAGGAAATCATGTTGTCTGGAAGGCACACGATGTGAACACCCAGCTCCACATATCTGCAGCCAAAAATATTTACAATGATGATAGGAGCAAATAATAAAGCATAGTTTGGTGAAGCAGTTTATATGATCGCATCAATCCAATGCTATTCCATTTATAATTCTACAGTATTTCACTTTTAAGTGGTTACTCCATAGGGTGTGATTACAAGATTAGTGAGTAATCCTCCTTCAGATGGTTGCAGGGATTTAATATTTGAACAGTGGACAACATATACTGAAAGAAACAGAAAGAAAGAAATACTCTCATTCTTTTATTGATCAATTTAGTTAGTATTTATAGAAGTTCCTGCTTTATCCAAATTACCGATTTAAATGCATCTACTGTTTGGGGAGTGCTTTTGTATTTGTTTTAAGCATTATTGTGTATTTAGTTCTTAGTTCCTGCTCTTGTTGACAAAATCACCAAAATGGCAGCTGCGTGACACACATGGTTGTGAAACCACTATTCTATGACACATTTTCCACCAAAATATCAACAACTCGCTTTGAATCTCCTACCTGTTTGTACCTCTTCTTCCACCTGTGCACAGTGCGCTCTGCACCAAAATACCACACAAATGAGCAAAGCCCTATCAAATGGTGGAGGCACAAAAATGTGATAAGATAAATTCTTGATAGGAAATTGTAGGGGGAGGTATAAGGCAACCATTCGTGGTTAAATTTGAAGAGGAACTCTTTAAATCCAAACTTAAAGAACTTCTCACTGTAGCCCTGCATTGTTTCCTCTGCTTTCATTTAGACTATTTTACATTTTACTTCCACACGTCTCTCCCCCCTCTCCTCCCTCTCTCTGTAGTTTCCAAAGTGTCTAAGCAACTGATGTTGTTAGAGGCTGAAAAGCAGTGTTTGCAGGATGACCTGGAAGAAACCAGGAGAGAGGTGCAGAAAAATATGAGGGATGTCCAAGTTCTTCAGGCCCAGCTGAAGGATGTCATAACGTGGGATGAACACTGCGACCTTGCTGGGAAACTCAGGCGGTACCATTACAATGTCTTGTTGTATCATATTTTATTTATTTCTCTTAAAGATGAATAAATCTGTATTAAAAGCATTTCTGCTCCTGAACTGGGACACAAGAAAGGAGAACTGCACACCGAACAGTTTATATTAGTGATACTCCATCTTGCTTGCTGTATGTCAGGAAAAAGGTGCGCAGTTCTCACTCCATGTTCTCATCCAAAAATGCTAAATACTAGGGCTCCTCATCTTCTTCTTTTCAACAGATTAGCCACCTCAGTTCAGTTTTAGCTCAGTTTATTATTAATTCAGCTTACAATTGATTTGGAGCAGATAAAACCAGAACAAGTGTACCTGCACCTGAAGCATTGCATTTTTAATTGCAATAAAAAAGGGCACTGGGATGTGACGAATAAATTGATGTGGTAGAGCAGAATCATAACTGTAATTTATTTAGTTATATTTGAAAGAGGTGGGAAAGAAAGCCGGTGGGATTTAACAGAAAACTCAGGTTTCCACAAGTTAATCACAAAAAGTAGTCTGCAGGATCATTAAAAGGTGGACAAATCTCTGTAGGTTGGTACATTATATAGGGATGGGATACACTTTGTTTAAAAGCGTTCACCAAGTATCAGATATTGTGTTTTAATGGGCTGCACAAACTGTTCTGGGCTCTCAGGCAATTGGAGCAGCAGGAGAGTAGGAATAAGAGTGACATGGACGAGTTGCTTGTCAGATTGTCCAGCCTGCAGGAGGACAATAGGAGTCTGGCCCTGGACAAAGCCAACCTGACTGCTGATATAAAGAGAATGGAGGCTGAGCTGGAGCTCCACAAACGAGCCAACAGGTACTAAATATACTGCTTTCTTTGTGTATCATCTTACACATAAAGCCTATGAAATGGCAGTGTTTGACACTGTTGGGTCCAGTATTTTATCCACAATAAACACTCACAACTCCTTAGAGACTACAGTTATATCCTGTCGTCCTTCAAACATACAGCAATGAACCCTTTAATCAACAAAGCAATTCTAGATCCCACTGTACTCAGTAACTCCCAAAAGTCAATGACTACAGTTTTAGATCTACCTTCTAAGATTGATATTTGGCTGACCACTGAAACATATTTTTTGTAATTTTGTTATGATGTTAAATGCAGAAGAATGTGATTATTTGAAGCCCCTTTGCACCCATTGTCCACCCACACAGGTGTTGTCACTTCTTCTGCTTGTTCAGGGCTCTTCTCAGGAGTGTGTGGGCATGTACCAACTGTGTTTGATTGACATCTCCCTCAATCCGGTTGTTGTTGACAGAGCAGCTTACACCTTAATTATTCCTGTTTGTACATGAAAGTTTAGTGCCCCCACATAAGACTTCAACCTAGTCAGAGGTGCAATCAGGCAGATAAAAAAAATACCTGTTTGGGTGTGCAGGGCCTTGGATGGTTATACAAGTCTGGCTGTTAATTAGTTGTCTGACCTAGAAAATTTAATTTAATTAAAAGAAACATGAAGTCCTCTTTAAATCAAATCACCAACCACTGAATTAAATACCTTTTAAGCCACTGAATAGCACCCCCAGTTTATCCTGAAGTGAAATTTAGAAATTCAGCAGGGTGACAGCTAGAGCCATGCCCAGAACCACGTTTTTTGAAGATGTCGGTCATCACCTCTCCAGAGTTTTATTCCATATTTAAAATGTACTCACTCCACCCAAAAAGGAACAATTAAGATTATCGTGAAAGTCCTAGTCCCAGTGGGTTATTTAACACACTGATGACAAACAAGCTGAAACAGACGGAGTGGCTTTTTCAACAGCACTACACATCTTATCATAGTTCAGATAAGGTTATTTTCCTACAGTTTATTTTCATCAGGGATTACAGCTGTTCTGGAAGCTTCATCGGCTCCCTGTGGGCCTGAACTGAGATTAATGTGGACTTTCTCATTTTGAAGTGTGAAGATTGTCAGAAGGTGTTTGATTAACCAACAGTGTTTTCACTCTGCTCGCATCAAGATGGCAGGGTCTCCAGAAACCACCTAGTTAACTCTTTGTCTCTCTGGTATTCCCCGTTTTCAACCATTATGTCTGCACTGTTCCTTTCCATTAACCACTAAATCTCTTCCCTTCTTCATTCCATTTGCCCTCGTGTTTTTTGCCATTTCTCCCCGTCTTCTTTCTTCTTTTTAATTCTGTTTTTGTCTCTCCATCATCCAGGAAGACTGAGAGGAGGATGAGTGTATTGATGCGACAGAAGGAAGAGTGTGTGTTGAAAGAGGAAAAGACTCGGCATTACATGGGAGCTGTCATTTCTGTGGCGGAGCACGTTTCCCGGGAGAGAGACCAACTATTACAGATGGTACTACTAATGCTACTGACATGGTACACATGTTACACATAATACTACTGACATCCTAGAGTCCACATATGTACTTACTGGTACAAATTCACTTCTTTCACTGAAGGGAAACAAGGTGTTATGCACTGTACTTTTGACATTGAAGAAAGACACATAATAGTACTGACACTCACATACACATGCCTGCTTTATTCCATATTCACAAATAGTAACAGATATTTTTAAATGTAATGCAAACTGGGCAAATAGGACAAAATGTCAGTTGTTTTTGGAACGCCAGTGTCTGTTTAACCTTTAGGCTGTTGCTAGAAGTGGTTGGCAACAGATGATTTAACTCAAATTCAGACGCCAAAACTCAGCAGGTAGGGTTTAAAGGCAGTTTACTTGGTAATTTGTTAAGCTTGTAACTGGAGTGAAGGCTGGTAGGATTAGAAAAACAACCACAGGAGAGCTGGCAGGCACCCAGAACATAAATTGGCAGACAGGAATCAATCAAATGATACAGCAACAGGGTAGCACGGACAATCTGGCAAATGCCTGATAAGCTGCCCTCTTCATGTACTGAGGAACTATTTGGTAATAAAGAGCAGCTGTACAGCATGTGGATGATGACTGTTGATCCACAGAGGCAGAATACTCTAAGGACACATTTTTTGAAACCTTTTGTTTTTGTGCCTGGAGTCATGCGAGTCATTTATCACACTGCAGTTTTCCCTGTCACCTGAAGTGCACTCTTGTGTCAGGGGCGAGATGCAGGGATGATACTGAAAATGACAGCAGGTGATATGATAAGTGTGACTCATTTAGCATCCCACCGAATTTACTAAGGTGCCTGCAGTATGCCTTTTTTCTCAGCAGATGTTGGGGCTTGTTTTAGCAGGAAAAGCACAGATATATCTGGTAACATTAAACACAACTGCATTCCACTTAGTTGAGCTACTTCTAGATTGCTGGTATTGTGCATGGTGACTCACCGTCATGGCTTACTGGCTCAAGAATTGAGCCATCATTAATGAAATTTTGTTTTCCTTCTATGACCTGATTCAAAGTGTCTGCTGTGAAAGTGGTCTTTTCAATTTTGTATGAAAATACTTGTATACATGTGAAGAACAGGTATAAATATTGCAGTATTACCAAAGGCTGTTGAGGTAACAATTGATGATTTCATCTTTATAGTCTACAGTAATTTCATTTTAGTGGACATAGGATGAGTTAAGGAAGTGATTTAAGTAAAAATAAAAAATACATAACTACAAACTGAGAGCAATGGTGACCAGTCGTTACAAACAAAATATCTGACTTTTGTTTTATAACAACAAACAAGGAGAGGATGGAGAGTTGTTGCTTTTTGGCAATTCAAGACGAAACTGGACATTCCAAGAATGTGAAATCACTACAGACTAACAATTGACTACATTGATGAGACATTTACAGTGTGCATTTCGGTGCATTTACCTCAGCATTTCAGTGAGAATATCAGCTGTGTTAGTGTCATCTGCGCCCTACGCCTGCTGCTCTCTGAGCTTCTTTTAGACTTGCTGCTGTGTCCCACTCTGTTGCCCTCTCTGTCTCCCCTCTGTTGCAGAGGATTGTGTATACTTTTTTCTTTCGTGAGACAGTTATTCCACCAATCCACCCAAGATAAGCGGCTAAAAGAAAAATGAGCTGTTGATTGACACTCTTGTCACACAATGCAATGCATGGGGGGGAATGAAAGAGCTGAGCTTACAGTTGCAAAAAAACAAGGTGACAGTCAACAGAAAAGAAACAAATTTTTCTCTGACCAAGGCTTGAATTTGGCCAAAACTTATAATGAATGAATATTATTTCTTGCTCATTTGATAGTCTACATTTGAGAGAGAATGCTGTAGTGGAAAGAATATACATTACACACAATAAGTATTTTGGATTCAGTTACTTTGACTATTTTTAGTGTGAATAAACACAAGCATGAAATCATAGAAAACTGACTTTCATAGAAAATACATTTTTCTTTCTGTGACTGTAGAGCATTGGATTTATCAACTGAAGACTCTTAGCATTCCATAAAAGCACTATTTATTCCTTAAGAGCCTTGATACCTGACTTGATTACTAATTTTATAACGATAATTGTAATATAATTTCCTCTTTATAAGTATATATACTTACACTATTCAGGCAAGGTTGGCCCCTGGTGCCACCATGTTCCAAAAAAACACACTTCAGAAGTGCCATCTTGGATGCGCTTATGGTAATTAAAACATGATAAAGTGCCCTCTATAGTGGCCCAATGTGCAAGAAAATGTGATAAGTGCCCTCTAGGGTTCTCGCCCAGTGGAGAGATGTGATAAAGTGCCCTCTATGGCCCTTCCAGCAATGCTGTGCCATATAGGCTTCCCTGCATGCTAGAAAATTAGTTGGCTCTACCTGCCTCTAAATGGTTATGGTATAGTTAATAGTTCCTAGTGTGTCTTTATTACAGAGGTGTAGTAGTTATACTGAGTATATATCTCTTTATTACTGAGGTGTAGTAGTTATACTGAGAGTCATATCTCTTTTATTACTGAGGTGTAGTAGTTATACTGAGGGTCATAACTCTTTATTACTGAGGTGTAGTAGTTATACTGAGGGTCATATCTGAGTCGCATAATAACACAATTTTAATCTTGGGTTTGGAATAGTTTCACCATAAATGCATCACAGCCTTCTTCATGCTGGTGCCCCATCACATGCAGCTGGTCCCCTTTTTATTTTTTCCCTGGAGTTGGTCCATCTGGTAAAAGAGGTGCAATATTAAATGGATATACAGTCAGAGCCATAAGATATAGCATGTCAAACCAAATAATATAGCTAATCTGACACAAATAGAATGATGAAGTATATCCTTGGCTCAGTTAGCAGAGTGTGCAGCAGAGGAGAAATTTTTTCTACATTTAGTGGACTTTGTCATATCTAACTTAACTTTTTTGGAGTTAGAGAAGTAAGAGCCCAGAAGGTCAGACTGACACCATATTAGAGGTAGCCAGTTTAAAGCCAACAAGAACTGATTTGCCTGGATGAGGTGTGTGTGTCTGTGTGTGTCTGTGTGTGTGTCTGTGTGTGTCTGTGTATGCTTGACCAACTGAATTAACGTTATAATGGTAATTGGTATAATGTCTGGCTGGGACCCCGGGAAAACAGTACTTGTGTTCATATCCAAGACACTTAGCTGATGTACTTGGTTGCACTTTAACAAATTTTTCCCTCCCTGTCACAACCTTTTTTATATACCTGTGCAGATTTTTACCTAGTCTTTAGATGCCGAAGAAAATAGGTACAGAAGATCCAAGACAGCCTTAATGAGCTGAATTCTGGATTTTTTGGCTGCTATTGCAATATGAAATCATTAAGCTGTAAAATACCTCATTATATTGCAAAGGGGCATTAGGTTTTTTTTTCACCGACAGATATTTAACCATTGTTTTGATTAACATTTTGATAATGATAATGCTATTTTTCTAAATTTCCTATATTTATTTGTACTTTACTGCATAACTACAGTTCCTTTTTCAATTGTTTTTTCATTGGTGCTATTAACTGAGAACATGCTGTTAGTGGCAGTATTTTGGTTCAGATAGGACTCTTTTTAAATTGGCAACAGTTTCAACAGTCTTTACTTCTTCTTTTCCTTTACCCCCCTTCTCTTTTAGATCAGTAACCTCCCTTCTTCCCTCTCTACCTCCTCAGGCCTCGGTTCTTCAGCAGGAAAAGCAGGGATTCATCAGCAGGATTCTGAATGGCACAGTTCGATTTGGAAAACTACAGGAAGAAGTCAAAGTAAGTCCCCGTATTCAAACATTACTTTCACACTTCAATCAACTCCCCTGAAAGGCCCATATTATCATGAGAATCATGTATTAGCATTTTCGAAACCTTTGATAAACCTTGCTCACTGACTTAAAATGGATTTGGTTTTGTGCCCTGCATAGAGAATTATGGAGTTAGCTGTTCTATCTAAAAAATTGAGAGGTTCTGTATATTTTCTTCCAAAGATGGGGAGAGTCCTTGCCAGTAACTTATGCCCTGGAACTGCCCTGCTACATGGCAGGCAGGTTAATTTCATCTTAACCCCCTGATGCCAGGGTAGCTTGTGAGGCTTTAACTTTGACTCAGCTCAATGATCCAGACTGCGAATTTTACCTAAAGTTAATTTTGCCCAACATACCCCTCCAATCTACTTCCTATTGACCGGCCCACTCCACTGCACTTGATAAACTATCTACTATTGGTCTACACCCCTCAGAAGGCATAAATTGATGAACACTTGAGATTGCCATCTCTCAAGATGAGCTCATTGGTTCTCAAGGACTTCATTTTCCCCCCTCTTAAACCAAGTATAGTATCAGCACCCCACAGTCAGTATGTGAAATGTAAAGAAAACACCGGCATAAAGATAATGATCAGCAATGATAGCGGTGGTCTCTTTGACTTTGGTCTATTGAGTATCACTGGGACACTGCTGCTGCTAGTAGTTATAGTGTTTACTTGCATTTATCTGTGGCAGTGGACAGGACATTACAGGCAGTCACACATTGTTTGATTACATAGATTGCATTTCTACTTTCTGTTGTTATACTGTAAGTTTAATTTAGTGGCCATTGTTTAACACTATTTTGCCAGCTGGAAGTGTACCCAAATACTAATATTTTAAGCTAAATGTACTGACTATATGCAACACTGATATGCAGTTACAGTACAAGACTGATATCATTTAAAACATGGTCAGACAGGCTTACAGTTGGCAATGGTCAAATCATAAACCGAAAGATTAGTTTCAGGTAGACAATCAAGAAGACATTGGGGAGAACACCAGCACTGTGTATGTACAAGGAACTTGATAAGATAAGTTAATCCTTTATTGATTCCCTGGAGGCAAGTTACAGCAGAAGGACAAAATAAAACATAAAGGACATAAAATAGGCCTGGGCAATAAAACAAATGCAATATATGATGGCAATAAGAAAATTGTTGAATTTAGATTGTTGCCATGAAAGCCCATGATAAATACGCCATATCCATAGATAATGGAGCATGCTAAGGGTGAATCATCATTGCCGCTTCCACCCTTTGGAGTACACAACTTGTTGTCAGTCATAACCTACATCGGTTCCATCTCAAGTTGTACAATCCACATGCAGGCAGTCCACGATGGAAAGGTAATCAACAACAATACAATATGACAAAACATTAACATTATTACCTGTGTGCCTTGATAAAGAATGTGTTTAAATTTAACAGTTTTTCACTTGGTATAATAGGTAATTAAAATTGACTAGTAATTATCAATATACACTGAAATGAAATGATTTATTGTGATACCTATTTCAGTTATATCACCCAGTCCTAGGCTAAAATAAAAATAAGAATAGAATGAAATAAAATCAATTAGACTTAAAATGCAAAATGAGTAGTAGGAAGCAAATGTGCAGGTCAAACAGGTCACAAGGATGATTAGATGATATAGCAGCTTGTTGTAGCAACTGAGTGCCAGTTTTATCTAAAAACTTGAGTTTAAAGGCAATATTATAATTACTTTGTCCAGTTGCACCCTCACTATTTCTGTTACAACCTAACTTAAGTTGACCAGGGCAAAAACAGTGAGTGACATTTTCATTCAGTGCAGCATGCCAGTAATATGGGAGAGAAGCCAGCTACAAGAGCCTGGAAAGAATGATGGAAAGAAAGAGATCTGCCATAGCTTTAATATAAAAGCAAAATGTAATGCAAGATTTGATCCAAAACTTGCTGTCACCCTATAATTTATTAAATGAAAGATTACTTATTTCTGACGGATGTTTTAGTTCGTGTAGATGGCTGTAATAGACACAATTATGGCCATAACTAATTGTAGACAGGAAGACAGACCATCATTTTTCTCCTTATCCATTCTGTGACACAAACTGCATGGATTACACCCCATTCCATAGAAATAAAATGGAGACTATTCTAGCGAATCACCATGGCAACCTTTTCTACATCTACCTACAGGGCCATCTTTGTTTGAATGTTATCACTGTGGTTGACAGTTGTCCTACAATACCAGTTGGTACAGCCTCTCCATATTTGTTTGTTTGTTATGCCAAACGTGAACAAGATATTGGTCACGCAGTATTGGTGCCTTGCTCTAGGGTCAGTGCTCTCTGTGTGTTCCAGCTGTCAGCAGCTCTTGTCATTTAAGCCACAGCGGGAAAAAACATCTCAGCAGTTCTGACAATTTTATTAGTGTCTCTATAGCAACAGCCCAGAGAAAAAGAGGTTTGTGTTTGTGTGTGTGAATGTGAGTTCTATTGGTAGTGTTCAGGCCATTAAAAGAGAACAGCTATAAATGTTAGATGTTAAAGGACATTATTCACTCCTTCCCTTTATACTTCATTAGTCTACTCCCTCGTTCTCTGCCAGCTGAACAAGATATTAACTAACACTTAAAGGTGAAATCATACATTCTCAAGCTGTTGCAGTGGTTATACTGGAGCTGTGTATGGAGTAGGTGTTGTTTTCAACATAGGTTTTAACCCATGTACTGTCATACAACACATTAAATGAGTCATGCATCATCAGATAGTGATGTTCCTTCTATCTATCTCTAGTCTATCTCTCTATAATTTGTTTGGGTTAATCATTTAGTATGAAATTTACCAGAGAAAACATATCAGAGCCCAAGATGATGTCTTCATATTGATCATTTCGTCCAATCAAAAGTACCAAACCCAAAGATAAAGAATTCACAATCATATAAAACAGAAAAACAGCAAATACCCACATTTGAGAGGATAAAATCAGATTTTTTAAATTAAAGGAGTAATTTGTCTATTGACAAATCAATAAATCAGCTAATTGTTTTAGCGCTTCCCTAAGTAATCATGTTTGCATTCTCTCACTTACTCTGCAAGAAACATTTACAGACATAGCGTGGAGGAGGTCTGTATTGCAGTAGAGAACATCCTTTCTTCAACCTGCCCCCTGCTGCTTTCACTATCACCAGCATGCACCATAAAAACACAAAGCAATTCAAGATGTCCCATTACAATTTATGCAGTCTTGACTAGAGCCTAGTTGTATTTCTGACCATTAGTTGTGTTGCTTTTAAATGACCCATGTGCTGAGACACTATGTATATGCCTTCAATGAGTAGCGACTTGGCTTTTTTTTTTATTTTATTAGTTTTTTTCGATTTTTCAAAAATCTCGTCATTCTTTGATCCTTGATCTTTTACTTGTATGTGTGATTAGATTGACATTTTACTTCTGTGCTGTATTGTCCTTTTATTTAAGACTAGATCTGGCCTAGCCAGTGTTGCTGCTTTTAGTGCACGTGCAAAAAGATGCAGGGATTGATTACATATCATTGGTTGAGTTGTTGCAACTGCACAGATGTTTTTGCATAACATTTTTGATTCTACACAGGTCTGCATGCATATTATTATTTTTGTCTGCAATCATATTTCAGTGGGTAGATAAAGCGTTTCGTGATTTTTTTTAAAGGCCTATAAACCTCGCCAAAGAACAACCATTTTGGGTGTGATGTTGGCCATTTAAAGTAAGTAAAGAATATATTATCACAAAAGGCTAGCTACTTACAGATTCATAACTCAACACAAAGAAAACATGTCAGACATGATAATGGTAAGAATATCCCGTAAAAAGAGGGAAGCCTATTATTATAGTGGAGTTTGGTATCCATTGACAAGTCACAACTTTCCGTCAGTGAGGACGGTAAAAAGATCACATTTTCCAACACTGTAAGTGAAAATAAATACCCCAGGTTAAACAGTCCACCAGTTAATCCCAGGTATAGAATTTAGCCTAAAAGATTCTGTTTCGTCATCTTCCTGCCAACGCATGACCTCATCTTCACTCCCACCCCTTCCTATTTGATGACCTTAAATAAACTCTCAACTTGTATGAGCTGTGGAAGGCCACTCTGTTCAAAAGTCCACACAATGGTGGCTGCACTTTATTTCTCCTTTTCACAAACGTTCCATTTTAAAGTGGATTATATTCTCTGAAAGACATCAAAATTGAATTGCAAATGTTATAACAACCTTACCTTTTCACCTGCCCAAGTTAGATTTTCCAGAGCACTGTGACTTTTGTATTTCGCCACAGCTCATGGGGGCTGCTGAACTCGCTCTTCCTCACAGCAGCAAGGTGATTGATTCTGAGATGGGAATGCAAATTCAAAGTTCAGGCTCTCACTTTTTATACCAACCTGAAATGCTATAAATTCCGCCAGCTGCTTTCTTTTTAGTGACTAACTAAAAACTCTCATTTGATTCTCATCAACCTATCGTGTTTGTAATGAATGCCACCTTATGACTTGACAAGATAGGGATTGTGTGTTAGAGAGGGCAGATTGCGACTACATTATTCATGTGTAATTAAAATTCATGCCCCTCCATCTCCTTGAAACACCTGAAAATGTTGAATATTTTAGTAAGTGCATGTATAAATATAGCCAAGTCACCGGTTTGCATGACACATGCTGCTTGACGTCAGTGTAAGATAACTATTTTTCCATTCAAAATTCTCCTCAGATCTTAGTTTGCATTTCTTTTCCAAGAGCCTTCAAATAGCAGTGATCACCCAAATCATAGGATCACATATGATTCTTCTGTTGTCAGGGTGCTGTAACCTCTGACCCTTAACTTCTTTATCTTTAGTGTATAGAATTAAAGAAATTAATGATTCTTCCACTTATCCCATTGGACCAATTTGGCTAAAAGTGCAGGTGCAGTGTTTAAGTTTTAGGAGGATCAATTAAATTAAAAATAGTAGTATGTTTGCATTACTATGTAGTCACCTGAAAAGAAGAATTGTTTTATTTACGACAGTTACAATTAGCTATTTTTATCTACAAAGGGAGCGGGTCCTCTACTATGGAGTCTGCCATGTTGAACCGCTGTTGTTTCTACAGAAACCGAGCATTAGCTCTAGATAGCGTCTTTCACATTTTTTGTGAGAAACTACCCACTTGGAAAGCAAGTGGTATTCGGTTGATTGCAATCTGCAACTTCACCTTTAAATGCCACTAAATCTTACACGCTGGTCCTTAATTGTTTAAAAGTGCTTTCTGGCTCCGATTGCAACTCAGTGTGAGCTGAATGTACAGGGATTCATTATCATCACAACGTGCTTGACAGACTACACATTGTTGACTGTGATAATTCGTACTATTTTTAAAATCCCTGTCAGAACTGTTTTCCACAGACCACTATGGATTATCCTGAGCAGAAAAGTGCTCCTTCATATTCACATGGTCTTATCTGTAGATCAATATGGTAATTCTTCTTCCAGATGCAGGGGAGGAGACTTTTTTTTTTTTTTCATGTAACCTGCCACTCAGCTCAGAAAGATGAAAGGCAGGGTCTTGTAGATGTCAGACAGTACAACCAGCAGGACAAACGCTCCACTGACAAGCACTCTGTCCAACAGCTCTGCCAACTCTGGCAGAAAATGAAATCTCTTTTCTACTATCTGACATGCTGCTGCAGTCTCTCATTTCTTTGTTTGTTTTTTGTTATTTCTTTTTTTTATCTGTCTCAAGCTAGTCTAACTGTATGAACCAGTCTCAGCACCTTTTTGCTTTATTACTATGTATCTTTGACCATAATAGTACTTAAAAAAATGATAGGCTGATTGATTTCTATTAAGTTAGAAATGCTATAATCCTGAGTTATTATCATTATTTGTGAAATAAATGGTTCTTTTGTTGTCTCTCTTAGGAGCAATCGCTGATTGCTGATAATTGTGTACAGCCAGCCCTCCATCATATAAAGCTTATAAAGGTTTAGAGTAAATCTTTCTATTTATTGAATTTGAGATGAGAATGTCCCTTTTTTATTTAAAATTACAATTTAGCTTTCCTCCTATGGGATTTTATTGGTTTGACATAAAACGGCAGCATTCTCACTCTTAACACAGACTGTGCAAGATTAACTTGCGATGACAATGATGTTGATTATTGACATTCAAAAAGTGGACTGAATCAGTACACATGCAACGTATAGAAAATAATTCTTTATTTATTCATCTAGTAGCTTCTGTAATCAGTGTGGCACTAAGCTGAGAGCTGCAGTCAGTAGGTCATACACAGAAGTACAGGAAAACCTAGAGAGAGTGGGTACAGAGACAAGTAGAGAAACAGTGGTAGAAAGAAGCTGAGAATGGAAAAGTAAGATAACAATATATATAACCCCAACATCACAGAACAACAGGACTAACATTGTAGAGGAAGGGTTTTGTACAAAATGAATATTTTTTTCCAAAATGCTACATTTCCATTTTGAGGAAAAATATCATTACCTGAAGTTTAACATTGAATATACTGTAACTTACAGTTATCAGCCCAGGGCCCTTGGTTATCAACATTGTACACAAAATGTTCTACATTCACTCTTAGAGTAAAATGTAAAATGCTTGTGAGTTCAACAAGGTACTAATGTCAAAAGGTAATTGTCAAATGTGCATAAAGTAAGGAAAGTAACTTACATTGATTAAACCCACAAACTCAGTTTCACTTACATCGATGGAACAATGGAACAATTTATAGTCTAACCCTTTATTTTTACTGCTGGAAAGTCAGTGCTGAATACAGCAATTCAAGATGTTTTAGAAGAAAAAACTTCTGACACTAAAATTGATGTTTTGGTCACAGAGCTATACGGAAAACTACTGTTTGGAACTACAGCTACAGTAGAGTTGATCAAAAATAGCATTTTTTTCACTCTACATACATGTGATGTACTGTGCAAATCATTTGAAATTACATTTAAAGCTAAACATTGAGTATAAAAAAACCTGAGATATAAATCCGGTTTATGCCTCACATGCACCAAATTATTTCAGCACAACAACCTGAATGAGGAGGGGAGGGGGGCATTCAATAAGCAAAACTAACAACCTCATCACATGCATGCCCAAAGCTACTGTTGTTACAGTAAAGCAGGTAATAAATAAATTATTGCAGCCTATTTACTTTTAATTTGGTAATTTGTATTTAGTCCTGGCTGAAATAGCATGCACATTTCCCTTTTCTTACTTACTCTGAGAATTGTTATGGTGAAAAATCTGGCCAAATGGACAGCATTTTTCTGCAATATTCCTTGCATTGTTCAACAATACAAAGAAATTGGAAAGTCGCTAATCTCACAGTAGGTAATTCATGACTTGTCAATCACAAGAGCAATTTTTCAACCAGGATGTTGCATCAGATTTATATCAACAGGTTCAACCCACTGATGCCTATAGTATCAACTTATAGATGTCAGCGCACCAATGCTTTTCCTCCATACAATGCACAGTTATTGATATTTGATGGCAAGACCAGTATCACAATTAACATTCAATTATGAGTTACTTGTAGCTTTAACTTTAGAAAGAAAACTATTTGGTAATGTAGTTTCACCATAAATGCTGGCTAATAGGTGTGAGAAACACTCATTAAAATTAAAGAAACAATGTGATTTTTAAAAATGTACACTATTTGTACTGTCAATCAGTGTCTAAGAGGTGCCTTTGATTTAAACTGGTGGACAAAATCACCCACAACATTGATTTTCCTCCCTTTTGTTATTGGCAACTGGCAATTACCCAGTTAAGCTTAAATACACATTTTAATTAACTTAATAACATCCTGAGAAAACCAAAAAGGTACACAGATTTTTTGTGTGTATGCATGGTTTAGAGATTTACCAAAATATGCAGGCATCCTAAAGGAAAGTTACAAATTAGTAAATACCACCATTCACTTAAAACTGATTGCATGCAAGATTTTTGTTGGTACACAGTGTTGATAAATGAGGGCCCAGGACAAGTGCTGTCATTATGTTAGTCAAAGATTAAAGGTCTGCACTCAAATGTTATGGTAGAGCAGCTCATACACACAACACAGAAGAAATAAAGATTACATAAGCACATCACAGAAATGTAGGTATAGCCACTGCTCCAACTAACATAGCTTGTCAGGGGCTCTGCTCCTGTTGGCCAAACTGGTTTCTGAGTTGCAGCAGTCGACCTAACAAAAGCATAGACCAACACTAAAGGCGATCTTCTTAGGTCCTTTTACTAGCACATTATTTCCATGAAGATAACTGACTGGTAGGCTTGTAAAGCCTGTGTAGCAGAGGGCATCATCTTCACCTTTTGGCCCCCTTTCTATCCACAAAACACATCAAATACCTGTGCACCCTATCAGCCCCTAGAGGAGCAGTCACACATGCCCTGGCATAGACACTGGCAGAACCCATAGACCAGACAAACTGTTAGGCTTGATGGCACCAAGCTTACACATACAATGCCCAGTGTCACCCTCTGGATCACCAACAAGTAGATTCCTAGAGGCAGTGAGCCAAAGTATAAGAATCCCAGCAGCCAGACCAGGATGCGTGGGACATGATTACAGAACTTGGACATGGCGTCCTGATCAGCCGGCCCATTGGAGCCCATTGAAACTGAGTCCAGGCTCTGCTCAGCATAGATGTCAGAGCTGGCATTTTGGCTTGGGGAGTGCTGTGAGTCCCTCTGCACTTCCATTATAGTGATGACCAGGCAGTTGGAGGAATCGTGAGATGGGCTGGAGGAGGAGAAACTCTTTGGGGTCAGGACCACCTCCCCGTTGTGGTCAGAGCTCCAGGATTTGTCCCGCATTGCCAGGTGGGACATAATATTAGCATCGTCAGGCAGGGCTGACACCTCGTACTCTGTGATCTCGGTTTGGTGTCGGCAAAAGGGGCAGGAGATGAAGCCTGCCCCATCAGCAATGTCCAGGATCTTAATGAGGCAGCGGGCACAGACCCGGTGCAGGCAGTCCAGGATCTTAGGCTTGCGGTTGTGAGCATTGTAGCGTTGGTAACAAATTTTGCACTCCAATTCCTCTGGTGGAGGACAGTCCTTCTCCTCTAACTCAGCCTCAGGACAGCTCATCTTCAAGTCATGTTCTGGGGGAGGAGAGAGAAGTATAGAGGCAGAGACAACGAAAAGGAGAGTTAGAAGGATAATGGTATATATCTAGTCAAGCATTACATGTGACTTTGACTAGAATGTTGGAAATTGCGCCGAAACAAGCTAATGTTTATTTTTTATCTGCTGTATCGTTTTCCATCAGGGAAAGGTCAGGTATCTGCCTTCTTCTCTGAATGCTTCTATTCTTTGTACCTGCTGGCCATGAATGATTTATGGTTTGGGAGTTGGATCAGGGTGGCATCCCAGAACCCTTTGTAGCAAATCAAGAGCCAGTAATGCTATTGATATTTGGGGAGAGGTGGTAGGGACAGCTGCTCCTTCAACATTTTGTGTTGATTCAGTTATTTTATTTAGAACACAAGACTGTTGTAGTTCTTCAAGAAGCCCACGATTTGAGGCTTTTACATGGTTAAATCTGTGCCTACTGTCAAATGCAGGAAATTTAAATCATTATTACAAAACTGCTGGAAGAAAAAAGAAACCCAGGTGATTGCAATTTGAAAAAATGCAACTTAAAAACATAATTGGTTAGATTTAAGTTAGAATCTGGGGTAAAGTGTACAAGTTATTAACAGTCACCCCTGTATCAGTGCTAGTTGTTGCCAGCAGTTTCAGTGCATGTAATTGTAATTGCTTACACCTACTGAGACGAGAGAACTCCAATGATCAGTTTCCTCAATGGAGAAACAGCAAGAAACTGTCAGTCATCTTTAATAAGGTCAAATAGCTGTAAGCATGTATCCATAGACACCAAGTATAAAAAGGAACGAGGTTCAGGAGCCGCCAACTGACTTTCACTGTCGCAGATCACTGTCATCTGCAGGTACATAGAAAGTCTTATATGATGTTAAAATCTTCATAATCTCAAATTAATACAGTGATTAATTGAACTATTTACATTTTTTTTTTTCATTTTACATACAGCTCCTGCAAGGAACTCATTGGGCATTACCCTTGTTGAGAATTCAAGGGCAACAACACAAATAGCCATGAAATAGAAACAAATAGTATGAAGGACAATACTGACTATGGATGCGTAAACCCAGATAAGATTATAAAGATATAAACCTGTGTGATTTATAAAGGTTGACCTTATGGCAAACACCTGTGGGTTGTTATGGTGTTAGAATACTGAACACAAAGCACAGAAACAGTGACTTTATACTTCCAGTTCATTACGTTTGCAGGATTAAACATGCAAATAGAAAGACCAAAATAATACAAATCAAAACCAAAACATACAACAAATACCAGGCTGTACAATACATGTATTTCCACAAACATTCAGTCATGTTTTAGTGACAAAGGCTAATACCACCCTTGTTATATTTTTGTTTAAATTATATTACAAGATATATCTGAGCTACGATGGGTTCCCTGAGAACTCCCCAACAGAGGTGAGGCCTGAAACTTGTTTCTTCAGTAAAGCAAAACTACCACACTGGATTTCGTAGAATGTCCCTAAGGATTGTGAAATAGGTGTGATCACACAAAGGGGACTGAATGCTTAGCAGCAGACCTGTAATTTTCACAATGCCATTTCATATTCCCCGATCAACTTGGACAAGTATTGGACAGGGAACTTAATGACAAACTCTCCACTCCAGCTACTGATATCAAGTATGCTGGTTGTTTAAGTGTGGTGGTGTACTGTGTGTATGTATGTGTATGTATAATAGCAATAGTAATCAGCTTGGTAGTGATAAATGAGAAGAGTATTTTTTTCTGTGTACTTTTCAGAGGTAAGTTCCTGAGTTTTGCATGATAATTAGGCCAAATGTACTACATACTGTTTTGAATGACCTTAGACTTGGTGTTTATAAAAATATTTTTTATATATAAATTACATGGTCATATTTATGTTCTATTAAAATTGAATGAGGTAGGAAACTCTACAATGTCATGGATTGTTTTTAAAGTTCCACTTGCTTCTACAGATTTAAGGAGAACAGCATTTTTTATTTTTTATTATCTTGAAATAGCCAGCAGCAGAAGATGAAATATGAATTCCAATTTTTTATATGTAGAGAAATATACAGTAGTTTCTTTTTTTGTAACTAATTAAGTGTTTTTTCTTGTTCTGTCAGTATGCCAGTATATCATTATATGTATAAATGTGTCCTGGAACACCATACGTGTGTGCCAAAAAGCCCACACGGTGTTGGTTGGTTTCAATGTCAATTGTGCCAAGAGCAACTGACAGGACTGACGTTAATGAGCAGGTATTGTGTCTGCAGCTGAGTCAGCAGACATAGTTGATAGGAACTGTTCCTAGACTCTTGCACCATGGTATGTCTTATAACACTTGAAGATGTTGCTCTAAGTACACTTCAGGCTACGCATGAGCAGATATATCCTTTTGGAACTCCCCCCTTTGTTGCAACTGGGTAGCTTTTTCCCTGACATACAATTCAGTTTAGTGTTATTTACAGTATATTGTGCCAAATCATAACAAAAGTTATCTCAGGACAGTTTTCATATAGAGCAGGTCTAGACTGTACTCCAGAGTGGGTGAAGAGGGTCTCCCTGATGGGCTACTTGGAGTGGGAAAAAACATGTTTACATGTACCCTTCCACAAGGGTAGTGATGGAGAGACTTCATGGGGTCAGAACTCTATGCACCAGGTGGTCTAGTCCTGGCTTGAATTGTAGTGTAAGGCTATAATTCTGGTTCTGCTCACAACTCTCTCAGATCGCAAGTTGAAATTTTTATATCAAACTCGTTCTGGGGAGCCAGCTTATGGTCAGATGATTGAGCAAGGGGAGATGGTAAGCTGGGGTGTATATCTGCAGTCAAGGTGGCATCTTCTCGGTGGCATTAGCCCCGTTCAAACCACATAGGGGTTGTTGCTGCTCTTTGCGGTGTGAGGATATTACTATAAACCACTAGAATATGCTGATGACTCGTTAAATTCAGTAAGCTTCAAGGTTATCAAGGTTAAAAAGATTTGGAAAAGGTTCAGTAAAACCTCAAGAAAATGCTTTCGTGAACTATGGTTGCAGTTAGCTCATTCCTGTTGTTACTTCTTACTTCACTTCTATGTTTGGTCATTAACAAGTCCCCCTCCTGTCAAGAAGATGCTATATAAAGAAAAGCCAGTCATTCATTCATGACCATGAAATATGGATTGAATAGGTGGATGTTGCACTGGCAGTTTCCCAGCAGGCTTCTCTGTGACTTGCAAACTGTTAAATATTTTAGCCACCAGTCTGTTGCGTTAAAAAGCCTTCTGAAACATGTCAGACAGATGTCAGAAAGAACCAACTCCTGCTGCATCAATCCCAAGAGCTGAATTTCCAAGTTTCCCCCTGAAGTCTTCAGCTGTTGTAATGAAAAGGCAAGGCACTGGGATTGTGTAAAATAAAATCCACCTCCTTGTGCAACAATTTAAACAAGTGAACAATTGTTAATTTCATCAAGCTATCCTGTGGTGTTTACATTGTAAACAAACATCAACCTTTTTACCAGAAAGAGTTGTGTGTCCTTAAGACCTAAAAATATCTTTCTTATCTCATAAAACATTTGCAAACCTGTGATGTTTTGAAACATCATCAATATTGTTTACATCTGCTTATTTTCCTATTTTTCTGCTCTTGGCTCATGGCTACCTTTAATGGCACATTACTCTACCAACTGTCAATATGCACTGTTGCTCTGCAGTCCTCAGAAATGGGTCCCGAGTTTCCAATAGATCTACACATGCAACAAACCTCTGTTTATCCTTTTTTACTGTAGTTTGACTGTAGTTAAACTGTGTACAAACCAATCAAACCTTTGCATGTCACACTCTCAATCAGTTGTTCTACACCAGGCGTCAGCCATTAATCAATCACAAAGACAGAATTTTCTTATTTTAAAGATTTTCTTTTTTTTTCTCTTCCTTTTATTGGACAGTCAACAGTGACAGTGAACCAACGGATAGAAACGAGGGGGAGAGAGAGAGGGGAAGGGCATGCAACAAAGGCCCACAGCTGGAATGAAGCCTTCGATGTTGTCGTAAAGTGGCATGCACTTTAACCATTTGGCTCCGGAGGCCCTCTAAAAAGCCATGTCTTAAATATTTTTTTACACTTACAAAAATGGTCATTAGCTTTTATTTGTCGAGCTAAACACTGTGGTTTGAGTTGAGTAATCACATTTCTCAGTGTGCCATTGTGAGGTTTGTGGTCAGCAAGGCAGAACATCACTGTGTGCAAAGCTATTAATCATCACAGCCTATTCCATCACTGTGAAACCCTTTGCAGACCAACAAGATAGATGATCCAGGGCAGCTCTAAAATGTTATCCTCTGGGACAATGCAAATTTTCATTGGACTGCTCTGGTTCAGCAACCAACCTGTTTTTTCCATTCTTTATCTCCTGCCAGATTATCAATTTCTCAACACTAAAATTATTTTCAGCTCCGTATTGGAAGATATTTGAACATAATCCCCATTAGAGCATACCGTTATTGCTAACAATGGAGTAAGGCTGGTGTGATGAGCTGCTGAGGTATATTAGGATTGGCTTAGTCATGCCAGGCAATGCTTTCCCTTTGTGCGATGCTGTCTTGTGGCAGATAAAGATGAAAAGCAGGGCTTAGTCTAATTTTATTACAGTATGTGCAGAAAGCTTACTATATTTGTGTTTTGTTTTTTTCTATTGCTGTTCTGTATTAACAATGCTTTACAAATCCAGTTGTATGCCATACTATATATACATATTTTCTGAAAATGGAACATTAGTTTTAGGTAGGTTTTAGGTTTTATATATTAACACAGACATCCCCAGATATCCAGGTATTGCAGAACATCCCAATTTGCAGTTAACTGTCTCCCAATGATCAACTTTGCTCCATACCCTGGACCCTTTCACTAGGTTTCTAAGGTTCTAAAGTTGTTAGCCAATTGGGCACAATGATTATTGTGTATGGTGGGACGGTAGAGAGGTAGAGTAGGATATGGGTGGCTGATCAAGGCTGGATAGAGGGACAAATGGAGTGATAGTGTGGTTAAATATTAAATCAAGCACTCTTTGTCTACTGGTCACAGCAGTGTTATAAATTCACCATGAAGAAATGTAGGCGAACAGCTTCCTAGTGTGTCATGTCTGTGTGAATATGAATATATGTGTTCTGACTGGCTGATCAATAGATTGACTGGTATACTTTCTGACAGACTAGTACTGGCTGGTTGACTGACTTATTGACAGGTTGACTGATTAGTTGTTCTCCATGGTAAATATGTTGGATTTGAAAGGTGTAATTTGAAAATAGTTATGTAGCTCCACTATGGAGGAGGAATACAACACGAATAGAGGTGGGCCAAAGCTGACATTTGAAAAGGTCAGCTTTTCCAAGAAAACCAAGCACAAGTTGCATCAACAAATGGCAAGACTGCATTACATCACATGGCGAAACAAAAAAATGTAACCTGTGTGAAATAGAAAAAAAAAAACTAAACTAAGTAAGTCTGAATCGAGAGCCCTTCTGTTATTGTGAGATGTCAATACAACATATAACATGATCAAGCTGTCAGAGCCATAGAAAAAACTAAGAAATACTTGCTGGCTCACCTCATAAATCTCCCCTCCATCATGGGCTCTCATACACTGCCACACAATTAGCCAAGGTCATGCTGTGTGCATAATTTTACATCATTTAGACAAGACTTAATTTAAACTAAGATTACCTGTCCTACCACCCTTAGGTGGTTTTGGAATTTCATTTCACTAAAATGAAAAGCCTAAAAGGAGTATTACAGTGACTGTGCAGCCAAAATAATAATAATAATAAGAAGTGTGCATCGCAGTGCAAATACCATGGAATTCATCTGTATTGTCATCGACAGCCCATTTGAGCATCTGCCATTGTGATATTACTGTAGTACATAACTGTCAGTTTTCTAATTAATTCAGATTTTAATTTCACACATGCAGTTAGAACGAGATGTGACGAGATCTGCCCAAGAACAACAACAGCATCAGTTGCTTTAGCAAGTGTCCTAAAACGACCTTTTTTAACCCAAATCATGACCTTTCCTGACCAACCAACAGTAATTTTTATGCCTAAACCTAACCTAATTTTAATCATGGTTTGTCACATGATAAAATGGATTTGTAATGGTTTCAGAAGGTGCTGAGAAATTATGATGATAGGGGTGTCAGATGAGAAAATATGTCGTTCTGAAGGACAGTTACTAACAATGTATTTTGATGGTCAATTTGAAGGACTTTTTAGTCAGAATAGCAGGTGCCTCTGCTCCTGAGTCCCTACTAGCTATATTCATGCTGTTTTGTTGCCGACCCTGGGCTCTCATAGGAGGTCGAACCAGAGGAGAGCCAGAGGAAAATCAATATGTATCACTTTGAATTATTCTACAAACCACTACCAGTCACATCAGTATTTTTTTAAAGCAGAAAAGGCTTTGATCAACAAGTTTTGTCGCATAATGGAGAATACTTAAAAAGTCTGTGTTATCACAGCTACAGAAGCCTGTACAACACTGCACTCCAGACGCTCTGTTGGATCTATAACTTTACAGCCAGAATTACACAACCGTCAATATTCTGCATAGATCTTGGCAAGACCAATTAGATCAAACGCTATGTTTACCTGCTTTTATAGGATATGATATGGGGATAATAGTAAATGTATCCCCTCTTCTACAAAAAAAACATTTACTTTTCTTTTAGCAGGTAAGTAGTGCTTGGTAACTAGCTGGGTTTAGATTTACAATCTGACTTTATCAGACACCGCTTACAGGGTTATATTATTTTGGGGGGAAAACCTTTTTCCTTGCATTTGTCAATAATTTGCCATTACAGCAATACATTTAATCTTAAACACAAGCTCAATTATTATAAGGTAACCAAGCCCTAATGCATACAAAGTCATTCTCAGTGAGTCCATCCAGTATACCACATGAAACTCCGTTCAAACCGTCAAACTAGTGCTGATGAAATATGAATCAAGATTCTGTTACTGCATTGCCTATTTCTCGCCTTAACATTATTTAGAGACATATTTTAGTGTCTATTCAACTCGCAGTACATCACCCCTGGCTCTGAAAAAGATACATACAGTATATACACTTGGATAGGACACTAATCTTCGGATCCCTTATGTCCTCGGCTCCCCTGTCCCCTCCTCCTTTCAGTGTGGATTGTTGATGATAGCTTTGACCTTTGCTGTCAGAATATCTACTTGCTGAAGCTTCTCTGAATTATGCCATTGATCCAGACAATTGATTCATGCTGCTGTTGGCAAATCTTTCATCCTTTTTTACAATTCCATGTACATTTAGTGGGCTAAACTGGGATTTGGGATCTGAAAATCAAGTTCGAGTTGACAACATTGGATTCGCCATTTCATCTATTAGCATCACCATTATTATGGTGGTTGCAGAGGCTCACAGAGAATCCAGCGTCAACACCTCACCAAAACTCAACAATGCGTCGTGCAGCGTCAGGTAAACTGATTACTTGATTCAACTCCTGTCGGAAGGCAGGAGTAAAAAACCCTGGACGTAACACAAGTTGAACATTCAAGTATAAAAGAAACAGCCACACAGAAATCTCTGAACGACCCCAGTGCATGTCCACCTAAGTGCATGGAGAAGCATTGTTCCAGCCTTTACTATGTTCATTTTCTGTGGTAAGATTTGGAAAAATAATAACACTAAGACAAAACCATACATGATCTTATGAGCTTTCCAATTAAATAAGGTTAGGGTTAGGGTAATTAGGATCAGGGCTCAGTAGTTCTCAGACTTGTTGACTCTAGAACAGTGGGTACCTGTGGGTCATCGGGTGGATCGGTAAATTTTTTGAAAACACACAGCTGTATAATACATTTTGGCCTCTCTACTCCGCATTCTACACATTGACATGTGAAATGTTTGATCTGCTGTCATTTAAACTGATGTTAAGGCACTTTCCTCCAATCTTTAGCTGTGACAAAGACACGTGTGGATCTAAAATGATGCATCTGACACAAGCAATATTCTCTCAGAACCACATTTGTCAAAGTGTATTTCATCATAAGCAGCAATTACTGCTTGAGTGGGGATGTGGCTCAGTTCTAAAAGCTCCTTGCCATTTAATTCAGACATGCACAGGAGTGAAAGGCAAAAAAAGCATTAACAGAACAGAACCTGGCAACAATGGCAAAGGTGCTACTTTAACGTTCAGATAAGCTATAGTGCCAATTTGATTGAACAAATCACAAGGTAATTGGCAGTAAAATTATAATATGAGAAGGAAGTAATCAAATGGGGTAGAGCTGGCCCCCCATGTACCGAGTCCTTGCTGCAGTGGCCATGGATTGGAATCCAAACTGTGGCCCTTTGTAAACCAGACTGGTGCTTTAGAGTGAGCAGGTTCTGAATTCTAACCCAACTGAGCTGTTGTGTGGTGATGTTTTCTGTGTGTTCATTCAGGTTTAGTGTGGGAGCACCAGTTTTTCCCCAGCTCTTAAAGTGCTTTCAGATATTGAGTTAGTATTGATAGTGGCTCCATGTTCTCCAGTGTAAACATGATGGTAGCCCTGCTGCCACTGTAGGTGGTAGTGGTAAAGAGAGTGTGGCTGCTGGTCTCATTTACTGCACAACCATGTCTAATTGCTGCTACTGATTGAGTGAACAGCTCTCCAGCTTTATACCACAGTAACCACAGTATACATGGCATGATGGCAGTGTTGTGTCCTGTTGCCTAAGAATCAAAATGTAGAGCACATGTGATGGGTAGGCTTCCAGCTGCCATCTCAGCTTTCCCTCTCCATAGAAGTTCCACATTGGAGACTATCACGGTCTCATTAAGAGCTGATATATACAAGAAGCACTCAGGATCTCATAGTGTTGTCCATTGTGGCTTGGGAACACTCTCCAGGAAGGTATGTTTTAAAGCTGACCTTATTTTAACCATGATGAAATCTTTGATGAAAAGACTTTTATCAATCAGTTCATCTCTTTAGTACAGGCCCTTTAAGCAACCTGTTGGCCAGTGCCTGTGGGCTGGCTGGTCTGGCTTGTCTTAATGCTAGATAACACATGGTGTTAGGGGATTTTAACACTTTAAACACATTTGATATGTATCAGTCCTTTTCAGGCTTTTTTTTTGTCATTATTGGACTGTGACAGCTGACGAAAGGCAGCAAAGAGGGGGGAGGGAGTGGTGGGACAATATGAAGTAAAGGGCCATGGGATGGAATTCAACCAAGGCCACTGTGGTAAGGACTCAGACCTAGAACGTGGGGCGTGCTCTCTATATTGGCTAAAATTGTATTGCAGTTGCTTTGAAAGTCTTGCGGTTGCTTGAGGTAGCACTGACCATGGAGCCAGATCTGTGTTGCCGTATACAGAATTTTTTTAGGTAAATAATCTAAACTGTAAGTTAGTAAGCTTAGTAAGCTTTGTACTTTATGCACGTTGCCTGTATGCCACTGTTCTACTACTTGTGCCTTGATTTTGTACATGGATTTGTACAAGATTCGTACTGACCCAGCTAATAGGTGGATTTGGCCATAGAAATGCTGGTTCCAGCTGCTAGGGTTTGTTAATGTTTTCCTATTGCGTGATCTAACCTCAACCCTCTTACCTTTTTCCCCCATTTCTTCCTAGTGTGCCTACCAGATGAATAGGGTGGTACTGTACCACTGGCACCCCTCTCCCCTTCACTGCATGTGGTGGTGTGATGTGGTAAATGGGTGCCCTTTCAACTCGGTTGTTTACTTGTTTACGTGACAGATGGGTGTGTGTGTGTGTGTGTGTGTGGTGGTGTCTGGGCATCCTGATAGCACTCAAATAACTCCCTATTGGTCTGGTTCCTAAGGATTCCAAGCTGTTTTACGGCTGGCCAATGTGATCTTTTCCTTCTGTGTCTGTGAAAAGTTGGCTTTAACATTTTGTTCTTTTTTGTTAATGGCTGTTTGTCCTTTTATCATTTTGCAATGAATAAATTGTAGTGTCCATTAAATTGCCCATCCAGAGTCAAAATCCACGTTTCTGTATTGTTTTGTTACCACTGTTTGTGTGTCAACCTTCATTTAGTTTTTCTGGGGATTCTTACCCCAGGTGGCGTTGTCTCACCTTGAGGCCCACTAGCATCATTACTTTGCCTCGGTTACACTTAAGTAGAACAACACATCTGGGCAGCAGAGATAGCAGTAACCAACTGCTATCTGTAAGCACTATTAGACTGCCAACAGCTCTGCTCAGCAGAAATACACAGCATGAATTCTAGATAGGTGTAAAGAGTCACATTGTTATTATACCTTCACCTCTAAATGATTATATGTCAGAAAAGTGATAAACAACTGAATGAGATAAAAGCCAAGAGGGTAAACACAGAACCAAACTATCAGGCTCAGCTACATGCTTCAATACCATCAATCGTACAAAAGACTAACATACCATTAGTTATATTCCAGCCAAACACTGGCAAACCATTAGCATGCACAAATTAGGAACATGCTAGCTATTTATGTTGCTTTACCATCATGTATTCTACAAGTGTTTTGCTTTTGCTAATTCTCCAACCTGACTGCAGTAGACCCCCCACAGATAACTGTGTCAGTTTACTTATTTACAACCAGAGCTAATTGTGACATTGACTGACATTTGCAGATATTTGTGAAACACCTGAGCAGTAGAGCTGAGTTGATCTAATAAAATGTACATTGTCTTCCCCGTTCTCTGCCAAGGGAGCCAAGGGAGGTGCATGTTTGTGTGTGTGATGTCTGTGTTTGGGTGCTACTGTCAGAAATGTTGGCACTACACCCTTGAAGTTTTTGAAACCCAGTAGACTAAGACTCACTTATCTTACTACTTTCTTTACAATAGCCCCACAGTGTTATCATTTACCATTGCTACCCAACCTTCAAACAATCCCCCACACACTTGTGAGCTCTCTGCACCACAAGAGCTTCGCTCCTCAGCAAAGGTCAGCGATATTTTAACTAGAAAGACATGACAGCAGAGTCTTGAGAGGTTGCAAATCAGATCCTCCTTGATGGTGAGTTTTATGCCGATCACCGCTGGCTTAGACGGAGAAAGTCATCATTTCTAACCTTTACTGAGCCCAGAAATGTTAGCTAACATGAAGTAAAGGCTCTGTTTTAACCCCACCCTGCTTCCAAGTTATATATATTTACACTGCTGCCCAGATACCCACGGTAAATTGTCCAGTAAACAAACAGTAATCTAGAAAACATAGAGTTTCTTGCTTACTCTTCAACCACACAACTTTACTTCCTCTTGCTCTGCTGCCTTTTTCTGTCTCACTATGCTCCCCTCCAATGTATCCACTTGTCTCTTATTAGATGCGGTAAGATCAGGTGTAGAGTTGGTTCTTATGTAGTTGAATTTTGCCTGCCCTATGGAACTGCTTCATTACCTCTACTGTGTTTTCTTCTGCTAATGACACAAGACAGCCAATTTCAGCAGAAAAGGTCAACCTGTTTACACGTGACGATGCTTTATAGCTGAGAGAATTGAGTTATTGCTGCAGGGAATTCAAACATTTGGATTTGTGAATTATTGTGAAATTGGATAAAAGGGTATGATGTTGTTAGTGAGGTTGTGAGGTGTTAATTAGAGTAACGGCCGGTTGGCAGATAAAGGAAGAGGAGGGTGTATATATTGTAGCCTTTAACACAAGCCCAAGATTTACTCTGCATTCAGACCGTTAGTAGAAGTAGTTGGCTGCAGCACAAATCGTATTTTAGCATAAGGCAAAACATGTGGCAGTGCTGATGCATGGTTGGCTTCGAACAGGTGGTAGAACCCAAAGGATCCACTTCAGTTGGCTTCTTATTTGGACAAACAAAAGAACCAGGTGACTGGTCATTTTAGAAAATAAATGGAGTGAAACCTGAGAGAGCAACTTCACCAGGAAACTCGAGTGTACTGCTCGTCACTGCAACATAGAATAGAATAGAATAGAAAAAACTTTATTGTCCCCAAGGGGAAATTTGTCTTGGGTACAGTGCTACAGTTTGTTGCTTCACAGAAACAAGCATACCTCAACAACAGACACACATCAAAAAGCAATTACAAAATCAACATACATACTGCATATCCACCACTCTCCCACAACATCCCTCTGTAGGCTATAGGTTGCCTCAAGTTATTACTGTATAGTCAGCTCTGAGTCACCACATACATTATCCTATAGTTACATAAAAATCAAATCCATTAAACATGAGTTAGCTTCCTTAAATGTATTAGTAAAAAAATTTATATATTGTGAAAGTCAATGCTCAGGTGTACAGTAAAGCATAACCTGTGGAAAGCACTCACAAATGTGAGTCTTAAGATTTCAAAAACTTCCTGTTTAACAGGACATCCTATCCTTAGCTTAAAGAGTAAAAACATAGTTCAATGTTTGTTTGGAATTTTCAGAAACATGGCTGAGACTGATATCAGTCTCAGTCTCTGCTGAAAAACACCTTGTTATAGCCGACAGCAGAAGACAGTGTTTTTTACGGAGCAACTTTCAGTAGTGTGTTAATACCATAAGTATATTATGCCCAGTGAAACTTGTTTGGTGTAGTGTTAAAAAAAAAAAAAAGAAAGAAAAACATATTTAATACATCTCCAATCCCCCACTGGATTGCGGTATAAATAATACCTCTTTGCTGTGAATTTTTTTGAATTTTTTGTTGTTACTGTGTGGAGAAGGTCAGCCAGCCTCTGGGCTACAGCTATGAGGGGAGATATATTGGTTTGGCGTTGCTCAGCTCTGCTTGTTGTGAGGGCTAAATGTCACCGCTTCAGCCGGGCCGATGCTGGCGCCCTGCTGCCTCCCTAGGGGGTTGATGGAGATTCGAGCCAGGCTTGGGAGACATTTTGCTTTTCCAGATTAAAGTTTTCTAACAGAAAATAACATTTCCATTCATTAGTGAGCATAACTGGTAATTAGCATGTCAGTTGGGGAGGGACCTAGGACAATATTCAAGGCCAAGACTCTTAACTGGGCAAGTGCCCAGTACATGATGGGACTAAGTTCAGATAGGTTTCTGATGAATATTTAGAAACCACTTGTCAGCAGGAACTTGTAGACACCCTGCTAAGACAAGGTCGGCACCCTGCTGGTTCTGAGCTCTCAACCTTTTTATTGAGTGCATTTTGAACGTGTCTGGCATGTGCTCATTTTTCATGTTTTATATTGAAACGTCTTTGACTTCTCTTTCTGTGCACTTAAAATATTTTATGTAGACTCTCTACATATTATCTGGTGCTTCACTACAACAAATAGATAATACATGAGTAAAACAATATGAATGATTTCTTTGATAGTTTTGGACTACCCTGTGAAGTTTTGGTCTACTCCTTGTAGTTTCTGGCTGTAAAAATCAGATAAATCCAAGTCGGAGCGTTTACTTGTAATGACCATGCTAATCGTAGAAGCCCCGTGTCTTTGGCCATGAAGTACGACGAGGGAAAATTGCCTGTCATTGTTGCAAGCCTCTTAGGACGTCAGACTGTAGCAGGGAGGTGGCTGATGATATATGTTGCCCTAATAACCACCTAGACCTTCTCCTGCAGAGAAGTGGTCACTGGTAGAAGAGAGGTGAGTGTGTCACTTCTGCAGGATTAAATGGACTAAGCTATATTTCCTGTACAGCTCTTTAGAAGAAGAAGCCTGTGTAAAATCTATAGACTTGCTGCATGTATGTACTAATACTGATATACTTATAAGTACATTATTTTTCCATCAGTGCTAATTGGATTCTTTGTGCTGCTTCAGTGTTGTCCTGAGCTGTTTACCTAATTGCATTGTTAGTCATTCTTACATTCTCTCTCTCTCTCTCTCTCTCTCTCTCTCTCTCTCTCTCTCTCTCTCTCTCTCTCTCTCTCTCTCTCTTTCCACTACCTGCGGAGACACGCACACACACAGGCACATACACCAGCGTGCAGTGTTTGGTAAGGTAAATAAAAGGCAGGTCTGATAGTTAATCATTCAGACACATTACTTGCGACACTATGACTGACTGCTTAACTCGCAGTTTGCATATTGTCTGTCTTGCTGCCAGCTATTTGTGGCCTCTTTTGTACACAACTCTGTATAAACAGAGCAGCCTGTCAAGCATAACGTGCAGTTAGTAAGCCTAACAGCTACACAGAAGTCAGTTGAGTGATGATGCACTAAATGAATTCATTGCTATGAACTGCTGAAAATGCTTGATTGCTAAAAGGAAGACACTCCAAGCTTTAGGGGACAGAAAAGTTAAACATACCAGAGTCAGTGAAACAAGAGACGGTCTCACTGCCACAATCTAAACATAATGAAAATATGCAGAGCAGGGAAAACCAAAGAATGGCACTGCCCTGGGAGCAACTATCATTGCAACAGAATAAATAGAAGCATATAGAGCTAATTCTAGGAAATAAAAATAAAGCAATCCAGGTTAAGTCATGTTTGGTCTATGTGTAAGGCAAAGTGTCTGTGAGCTTTTTGGGAACTGTGACATCCTATACATACAAGAGACAGTGAGGTATTATATCTTTGTCATCCTGTGCCTATAACAGATGATTTAAAGGATGACATCAGTATGTCATCACAGTGTTGTAAGTTGTATGGTAAGGGGAAGGGCCTGTACTGTATATTTCACGCCTGACTGTTCAGGATTTGCTGTATGCTCCTGTGTCTTGCTTATGTAAGATATTTGAACAGCATCCATTCATTTAAAGGCATTTTCAGTTTACTTGGTTCATGTATATTCAAGTGTGTAATTAATGCTCAGAGCAGTTGGATTGTTTTTACGAAAAACATTTTTGGGAAGTAATGGGATCAGATAAAAAGCTACATGATGGATGTGCTAGTTAATCCCACTAAAGGCGTAGGAGTGGTGTCAACTCTGATTTAGGAGGTTATTCATCCGTTATGAAAATTAGTATTTGATCGCAATGATGATGATTTGATGTGTTATGGACGATGGTCTGATTTCCTTCAATATGGATTATATTTTTGAATTCAATTTCTGTACACTAGTTGGTCTGGAAATAAAGTGTATTTATTGTAAGAGAGAGGCTATCCTCCAGTTCCTAGCCATGTGGAAGAAATGGTAACAATAGGGTATGGAAATAGAAAGACTGCAACTGTCAAACTTAACTGGACCCAAATTGCACATCTTGAAAATGTCTTATTGTGTTGGCTGACACAGTCCCTTCAATTTACAGCCAAACAAATTAGTCTTCTATTTGCACCAGTCCGCACACAGGCTACAGGTACTAATACAAAAAACATGACATGACATGGTAAGTTATTTCCTTTTTTATTTTTATTTCCTACTAGTTTGTTTTTTACAAATCTGACTGTAGTATTGATAGTTTTAGTTTTGACTTTTAATTGTTTTTTATTTATTTAAGTTTTTTATTTATTTGGTATTATTATTAGTGTTGTTGTCATATTTTTATTTGTTTCAGCACTTTTTGATCTGGTCTATTTACACATTTGGCTCAGTTTTATTACTTGGTATATCCTTTTCTTATTCTTATTTTTACCTTTTCCTCATCCTTCCTCCAGTCTTTCCTCATTGCAAATTGATGAGATAGCGTTTCCTCAGTTTGTGTTTTTATTGAGTTTCATTGATTGATTATTGATTGGGTGTTTTAATGTGTAGAGCCACCACGACAACCGCACATGACCTCACATCATCATGTCATGTTCAGTATTTGTAAATGTACTATACAAATAAAGCCTGATTGGTTTATTCAGTCTGATAGTTTAGTATTGTTAGTTACTATAGTATGAAGTCACACAGGAGCAGCACATATAAACACATACATGTAGGCATTGTTCTCATTCGTCAATTGTTTAATGGCTTATTAAAATTTTCTTTGGATTACTTTTTCTTAATTGACACTCTGAATATTTTTGCACTCAAGTAGATCAAAATCATTTTACCCACTTCCTTATCCATCAAGTTCTTTTTCACCAAGAGCGAAATTCACTTGGACATGCTCCTAGCTCTCAAAGCTGACCCTGGCAATACATTTTTTTCTTCATGTTTTTCATCAAGATGCCTCTCTCTCTTTCTAAAGTGAGGCTCAAACATTCATACAGTAAAATCAAATAGAAAGGGGAACATGTGTAGTAATGACAAGACTGTCACATGCAAGTGCATACATTAAAACCACAACCAAAGACCAAATCATAGAAAATGTGAAAGGTTACTGCTTTAAAGTAATTGAGGAGGTATTAAAGTTCTTCATATAATTCAAATGGTTTAACGGGTAGTTCACACACAGCTCTAACAGGAGTTCAGTTGTTCAGGTGAGAAAAACACATTTCACTCCTTGTTTTTAAATAAGAAACTGATCATTTCAGCTACATGGTGCCATATTTCATGTGACCCCCCCGCTTATCATTCTACTCATTAAAAAGCAATGACACATGTATCCCACTGTCCCCTTGATTATGATTAATGGGATAAGGAAAAAGCATTTGATGTCTGTTGGTGCTTTTCTGAAAAAAGACTTCATGAAGAGAAGCCACATTTTAAGTGTTTTGTGGTTGCTTCCTGTTGCTTTCTGTGTACAATGGAAAGCAGTCGGAGGTAAAATGGGCTTTGTAGAAACACATCATGCTTGGATAATTACAACTCACCAATCCTCTGATCTGGTATCATAGCTACTAAAAGAAGTGGTAGGATAGCTTCAGAAGTACAGCCTTATAGATAGATTAGTATCAAAGCCATTTGCCTAACTGCTTCTGTACAAAATGGCTCAAAATCAAATCTAGACAAGCCAGCTGCTTGATAATCCATGATTATTTAGAGTAACCAACTTGTTTAAAGGAGCAGAGTGATAAACTCCTATGCACACACAAATAAAAGGTAGGAGGCAAGCACACCCTATCTCTCATTATACAGACCTTGTTTTTCTCATCACTAAATCTTCTCCAACTGCAGAGCCAAGAACAGCAACACACACTATCTACCCTCTCGGTTCCCTTTTGTGCATTTTTATTTTCCTCTGCCTCTCCTGTCCCCTTGTTTGCTTTCATTGATTGTTTCTTTACTTTACTGGCCCTCCTTTTGCTTTATTGTCTTCATTATCTAACTAGATAGGGCTAAACTAGTCCACATTACAACTGACATGTATTCTACTTGTATGAGTATGTGTGGGTGCGGGTGTTGCACTATCTGCAGTAGTTCTGAACTGTCTGCAGCTCCACGGCGGCTGATACAACAACTTCAATATAAATCTGAACAGAACTATTATTTACAGGATACAGACACACACACACACTAGAATACACACCCTCCAAACAAATATACACCAGCTTCCACATAGAAAATCTGCAGCAGGTGTGTGTGTGTGTGTGTGTGTGTGTGTGTGTGTGTGTGTGTGTGTGTGTGTGTGTGTGTGTGTGTGTGTGTGTGTGTGTGTGTGTGTGTGTGTGTGTGTGTGTGTGTTCCTCACCTTGTCCCAATGTGTGTGACTCCCCCTCCTTCACTCCAGTTGTCTCTGCTGCGCTGTCCTTCATGTAAATCCACCTCCTTCATAGCAACACTCCACATCTCATTCCTGTGTGTGTGTGTGTGTGTGTGTGTGTGTGTGTGTGCAGGTGTACCGGAGGCAGGCGTCAACCAGACTGGCAGTGTTGGAGGAGGCAGCGGAGGGGAGGACAGCTTCTTACCAGAGGGAGATCCTTCACCTGCAGAGGCTGCTAAGAGAAAGACAGGAGGCTGAGGAGAGACTACTGCAGTCCAAACGGTAGGAGGAGAGCAAGGAGGAGAGAGAGAGGGGGAGGAGAGTGTGGAGGAGAAACGGCAGGAGGCAGGCAGGCAGAAAAAGGGAGGAGGATAGGGAGAGAATGTGTGAATGAAAGGAGGAGGAGAAAGAGAGAGGGAGACAGTGTGTGTGTGTGTGTGTAGCTTAAAAAAAAGGAGGGAGGCCAGAGACAGCAAGAGGCAGCAGTAAAGTGTGCATGGAGGCAGAGCCGGTCTGATCAACAAAACAATTCCTGACGAGAAACAGATAGAGATGTCTCCACAGTCAGATCAGTTTACACGTTTTAGTTTTCATCTTTTTTCTCATATTGTTTCCAGCAGTCAGAATGCATCCAATTTGAACAAGAATGACCACACAATACTAGAGCTCAACTGATAGATCTGCAGGCCAGCTGCAGTACAGAAATGAATGCCAAAGATCTTTTTTTTTTTTTTAGGTGTCGCAGTTACATAGTTTGTCCCCCAGAGGAGGTCCAGTAAATGCTGTACATCCCTCGGTCTCAAGTCTTTAATAACCAAATGTAAAGCTGCTATAACCAATATTTTTATAATAGCAATGCCTTAAATAGCTTTGTGTATATGAAAGTGGTGGTTCGCATTGACAAACCCATAGATGACTTTCACATGACTCTGCAGTTCCCCTCAGTTCTACAGAGCATTTCAACATTGTGTAACTTACTGTTTAGATCACTCTCACCGCTGTCATCAGCCAAGTTTCCAGCTCATTTTTCAGCAAAAAGCTCTGATAACCCACTGTACCACTGCCACGTGCTCAGCACCAAATTAAGGATAGGGTTGGCTATTAGATAGTGAAAATAGTGGCAGAAGTTGGTGGGGACCAAAACAGAGCTACCATGTGATACTATGTCAGTATTTTGCTTGTTGCACTGCCCCCAAGTGTCCAAATAATCAGTGAAAGTAGCTTTAATGGATCCTTACCAAAACTGTAAGCTTACATCATGTTTAGTTCAATGAATGAATATTGACAGATTTATCGTTACTGTTTTTTTTTTAAATCTCATAATCTGTGTCAGCCTTGACATACAGTAGCTATTTGGCTTTACACATCACAGTGCAACTGACAATAGTGCAACAGTTCAACATACAGTACACAAGACAGTCCAACAACACAACCTTGTAACACAGCAACAGGCAAAACACATTACAACACATTAGTTTTCCAAAGCAAGACATCAACTCCTTGCCACTGTGTATGTATTCTCCACAGTTTCTGTATTTGTACAGTGCAATTTCCAGTCTCCTCGCCGGGTCCAGGAGATAGATGCTGACATCCCTGTAAACCACTGGACACAGCTAAATTTCTTTCTTCACACTAAATCAGTTAACCCCCTCAGGACTGTCCACTTGTACCGATCCTCTTATCCTTACAGTGAATTGTCATTAACAGAAGCTGGCTTGCTGGATGGGGAACAACAACATCTGCTTTTAACAGGATTTGCATAATCAGCGCCTGAAGCATCCTATTTTGGAATTACAGAGAAAGGCCTACTGCTGTAAAAAAAAAAAAAAAATACAGAGGGCAATAATTGGTTTAGGTAAATGCGATAGTGACTGACAAAAAATAAAAATGTTGTGCAACTGTACATATGGAAAGTGTAGTATGTATGGGGAATTCAGAATACTATACATCGTATTTATGTGTATAAAGTGTATTTTTCTTGTACATGTATACTATACCATACTATATTATATTTTTTTAAGATAGTAATTGATGCCAGTATGTCAGAAAATGAGGGCAATATTGTAAATTAAGGCTGCATATAAATTATAATCCGAGGCCAGGTGGTTATGGAAGTACTGTATCTACCAAAATACTTCAGCCAGTATGCTAGGACCATGACTGTGACACACAGAATTACACAAAATGACAGAGCAAGTCCCTTAGTTATAGGGAAAAATGAGAAATGTCATGTAGCCAACCATTTGAGTTGTGACTGATTATTTTAAGGTATTCTTCCTGCTACAGTGTGACACCCTTGAAAAACCTGACTGGTAATTTGTTTCTCCTGAAACAATCTACCACTTTCCCTTTATTCCCTTGTTAGTCTGTTTTTAGCTCTGTCCCTGGGCCTGCTGCCTGCTGCCTGCTGCTATCAAATGAAAGCTAGCTAATCATATTGTTGGTAGAGCCTGTCCTGCTCTGCCCTGAGGGCATCTTAATGACAAATCACACAACCACCACACTCTTGCATCACTTACCCACTTTCTTTACGACACCACAAACGACTCTATTGCTGGATTTGTAAAACTGCATTCACCACCACATCAGCTTACCCTGGACCCTGTAAGTCATGGGAATGCATGTGGGTGAAACCCTGATTGACCTCCAAATGATGTCAGCTAGAATAGGCTAGTTTACCAGTCACAGCAAAAGTGTGAAACTATCAGTGTAGTAGTTGGTGGTGAGTTCTCAGCTACAGCTCAGCCAAGTAGCTATCCACCCAGCTGAATTCAAACTCAACACAGAGGAAAAATCTATTTCTGCCCCAATTCTCTTTTCTGTCTGATCCACTGCTTTGTATTCTGCCCATGCTAGAGCAACAGAGATGCTGATAGGTTGTGATTGCCGCCTGCCTGCTAAGGTCTGCGTAGCCTCCAGAGAAGCTGCCTGAGAGTTCCAGGAGCTCAGGAGGGGATTCAGCCTTCAGATCACTTTTTCCCATCTAAAAGCAGACCTGTATTCCCCAAACACAGCCACAAAAACATAGAAAGATCTGCTAGATATGAGCAAAGAGAGATCTTTATAAAGGTAGCTGAAGTTTCTAGTGGATTTTGACAAATAGCTCTGCTTTCATTTTGTTTTTTCAACAGTGTGTTGGCTAAGACTAACTATATCATTTATTTGCAATATCTTTGGAATTTGTTGTGGGATTAAAGTGAGTGTGGTGGATGCATTATACTGGGTTGGAATAGGTTTATAGTAAATTAAGATATCTGTAATAATTTGATGGACGATTGTAATAAGTGTAAAATATTTATAGATCCATTTTTAATTGATTGAAAATTTTAGGTTTAGGAACTCAGAGGGCACAACCCTGAACTATTTAGAAGCCTTCCTCCTTTGAAGCCTGTTGGAGCTTGTGGTTGCTGCAGTGTTAACCTCTCCTGTTCTCGCACAAAATAAGCAGTGTAAATTGCTGACATTATGTTAATGGTATACACACTTGGGGCCTCATGCATAATTAATGCTAAAGCCCATGAATGCAGATAAACACATTTTTTAGTAGTACTTAATTATCCCTTGGTTTCCCATTGGGTTGGAGAGTGTTTGTGACTCTGCTGCATCTAGCAGCACAGAGAAGACCAAAGAGGATCATGGCGGATTCTTTGTTCTTCTTGTGTTACTTGTTTCTTGGTAGCTCACCATAGGTTGTAAGCAAGGCAAAGGGGGCTGTATTTCTTGTCAGGGTCACGTAGCGACCGAGTCTTTTAGAACTTGAATTCCTTGTAATGACTAAGTAGTAAGAAAACATCTTTTAAAATACTGATATGAGGTATATGATATGAGGCATGACATTGACAGTGATGGGTGGTCATTATATGACAACCTGCTCAAAACTAGCTACTAGGGTTTTTCTCCAGAAAGTTTGTTTTGTAATTTAAGTAAGTAGAGGGTGAAGTCTGGCATTGATGCACACTAGGAGTAATTAGAAAAAAATAAAAGAAAAAACTTGCCCAAAGCCAAAAGTGCCAAAGTCTCTGGGACCTTAGATATTGATCTAAGATTTCAATTTAGAAAAGTAAGTGATGAAATATTATAGGCAAATGCCTATTTTTCAGCAATAGCAGTATCTGTCTGTATCTATCTAGGACCATTACATTTTCCATTTATATTTGTACTAAGGTAGGTATATTGAGTATTTGTACTGGAATGACACACATCTCTTCAGTTATGAAACATAAGGACAAAGACTATGATAATTAAGCACTGATTGTCTAATGCTAGTGCCTGTGTTGTTCCCTGTGGCTGTCTCTCCACTGCTCAGAATAAATGTTAGTGTCTGTGCTGACAGGGCACGGATGGTGAGATGAGGAGAAAGTAGTTCTGTTGCAGAGTGATAGACCAATTCCTGAGATGGCTGCAGCTTACTGAAGCTATAATTGTAATGGAGTTGTACTGTGGTAGTAGCCTTGGTCAAAGCTATCCAACCAAAACACACATACACAAACAGACACACTCCTGTTGATTTTTCCATCTTATGTAGCTGCAAGATTTATCTTTGTATTCGGTCTGAGTAGCTTCATGGGAAGCAATGAGGAGTGTGGTTGCCATTGGTAACGCATATGTGCACAGTGTTTGGGTCGGAGGTAATTAGCAGACAGAGGAGTTTCTGAGGGTCTTTACTGAAGGACGGCAAGGGAAAGTGTTTTCAGTCTATCAGTTAAAGAAACATCGTTAATGAATCTTTACTTTCATAAGAAAGCGTATTTTTCTTCATTTTCCCCCACGGGTCTGTGTTCTCTAGATGAACCTGTGCTCTCAGAGGGACTTAAGGTTTGGTTAAATTCAGGCAACTGTGCTGCTGAGGCTGATGGGAATGGTGTTGTTGAAAAGGTAAGGGATTACAAAAATAATTACAATTTATCACAAGGAGGACATGAATGCCTGTAGCACATTTCGTGGGAATCCATCCAATAGTTGTTGAGATGTTTCATTGCAAACCACAAATTTCAACGTCATGGTGGCAAAACAGGAAAAGTCATTAGGATACATTGTCTGGTAACTATGAATGACTTTACAACGTTTCTTCCCAAATTATCGAAGGTATACCAACTGACCAACCAACCAAAAGAGACACATGCCACTACCATGACTAAAA